TCTCTGCATCGAAATCAAACAAGTTTTCATTCGTCGTCTTAGAGTCATTTGAGGATATTCTTCTGTCGCCACAACCGCACAAGAATAACCGGTTCCCGCTTCCAGAAAATATGCATGGGGACCGGTAGCTATATGCTTCTCGTGGCATGTAAAGCTTTGGATTGGACAACATTAATTTTGTGCATGCGTAGAAACAAAGTTATATTATTTTATAGAGATAATATTATTTTATAGAGATAATGAGATAATGTGTAGTTCTCAATTTCTCATGCTTAAATAAAATCAGTTAACTACATGGTATGCAGAAACTCTTTGCATGGACCAATTAAATGATTGTGATCGCAGTACCTCTTTGGGAATTACCATGCTTGAGCTTCCACAGCCCGCAATTAATTCGAAATTGTAGTTTTGTACATAATTAAAAGTGGGGTTTTTTTTCGTTCGCTGTCTATTTAAAATGAGAACATAATTAAAAAGAAAGAAGAAACTATTTTCGGAGTGAAATTCGATAATATCACGAACAGCAAACAGTATATCTTTAGGTTAAACTCAGAGGAAGCGACCCAGGTCGTGAAACAGTTCTCCACCTGTAATTTTAACTTCCGAATTTGTTCCAAATCCTGCTGATACGCTCATATTAAAAAACGTCGTGATATCAACAATTTTTGCAAAGCATGCATGCACAAAACACTCATCATTTTTAAAGAATCCTTATGTCTTATTTTGCCGAAAAGAATACTTTTGTTTTATATTTGGCATCTGCAAGTGCATCTCTCTGAAAAAAAGCTTTTAATATTGGTTTTATTAGTGTACAAACAGGTTCTCGGTCCCTATGTTATTGATTCTGATAGCGGGCAGGCCTATGTACAGTCTATACCTTGCGAGAACTGAATTTTTGACAGGCCGTAGATAATTCGAAATTTGTAGAGTTATTATTCAGCAGCTAAAAACTTGGGTCGATAGTGTGTTTACTGTGATAAATTATTATGCTAGTACATGTATATAAAGTCGCGTTTAGCACTCCCTTTCTTCCACGTCGGACACGTGTGACACTGACAAGTAACCCATACCAATGCAGGAAGTAATTTATAAACCACGATAATCCGGTTGATGATGGTTTGGTTTAATAGGGGAAAATCCTCGATATTATTGTAATGGAGGGTCATAATTGACACTACGTATAAAGGATTAGACTAATAGTATAGGGCTATAGGCTACGTTTCCGAATGATGTGACATTCAACTTCAAGGAACATATACCTACAGACATACTTTGGCCTAACTTGTCAAAGTGTATCTGAGATTTACATGAGGTTCTCTTGCTACATTTTCAATCCAGCTAAGTAAAATCATGGATTCCTTCCTCCACGGTAAAATGAAGCTCAGTTAAGATTGCTCTTTCCCTGACCCGAAAGCATGGTAACTCAATTTTTTTGTTGACAGAGTAGGTATGATGTACATGTTCAATACACGTTGCATAAGCGTATAGTGAAAAACCCGCCCGGCTCAGTGGATGCATGGAGTGTTTCCTACCTCCACGGTGGTTGGGTGGAGTTTATTATGTTGAGATGAAGGGTTGCACTATATTATGAGGTTTTGCAACCCCCTCCCCAAATACAGGTTAATGCACAGATCTGTTTTCTCATCGACTGACTGCAATAATTGGCGTAATGAGCAAAGCTCAATATAATCCGTTCATTGTATACTGCATGTTTCTTTTTCAATCCACCTCCCAAGAAAAAAATCCGGCGACAGATATATAGTTACTAACTTGCATTGCTAAGCATGGCTCCCAGTCCCAGCAACTTCAGATTTTAATGCTACCATAACTTTGATTTGTGATAAGTCTCTCTAAAATTTTTAATGGTTTAAGACAATAAAAGTTTATGTATTTGTTTTGGTGGAAACCAAAAGATGCACACACTCGCAAGCAATGAAAACCACTAATTACTTTGTGAATATATGTGTATATCGTGGCAATGTGCCTTATATATGACGCATGTATACACTGCATGCCGAAAGTTCCACAAACTCTTTCGAATGGTCACCCATTCAAAGTATTTCCCTAAGAATAGTGAAGTTATTTTTGTAGGAGAGAGTGTTCTTTTGTCCCAATTGTGTTCTTGGATCTGGGCCGTTTTGAACGCCCCTGTGCGGGCACAACTAGCTATGCCCGGCATGCTACTCTGGTCCAGCAACAAAAAGAAAACCTGACAATTATGCAAAACCACGATGGAGTGTAAATCCGGTCCATCGGTACCATTCAAAGTGTACCATTCATAGAGCATGCGCCCCGTAATCCTTTAGTCAAGTCGAGAAATGTTCGGCCAGCGCCCAAGAATGAAATAAACCCGGCCAACTGCTAGTAGTGCCACTAGATACTGCGGGGCTGCGCACCTACTGTAATGTAATCGCCTCTGTAATGTAATCACAGATTTCTTAGACCGCGTTTTCTGATCTGGTGCGGGGATCTCTTTACATTGCGCACCGCGTACCCCATTGGCCAGGGGCATTCATCGTTACTGGGGGTTTCGCATTACACCAGTCTACTGACCAATGGAAATGTGACCGAAAAAAGGGGCCAGCCTTGCGTAGTCCAGCTCAGGAATGCTTGAACCAGGGGTCAGATTGTGTGGGTAGGGCCGGCCAGCATGGCCAGTCAGTGTGAAGATTTGGGAAACCTTGACAAAGTTAGTGGATAGAATTTGAGGTCTTCCGTGGTACATGTTTCGACTCCGTACGCCAAGCTCAGGATATAACAATGTTCAAGTCCGAGTTCAAACTAGCTGGACCAGGGATGTCGTCCAAAGGTTAGTTGTAACTTTTATGTCGATCTTTAATCGAAAAAAAAATAGGAAACTGTTTACAACAGTTATTGCAAAACGAGATCCGAAACGAGGAGGGAAAGGGGGCCCGGAAAGAACAACCAGAGACATGATAGAGAAAGTACCACATGGAGCCGGGCTGAGCTTGGCGTTAGCGCGCCTTGTAGGTGAACCTCCGTTATCTGTTGTTTTAATCTATTGATTTGTTGTTATATTCTATTGAATTGTATGTTCTTGGATATATTCGAAAGTTAACGGACAGCTACAGTCGCTTGTAACAAAGACTAGTGAATTATTTTGCCAGTAAAGTTTGCGTTTGGTATACATCAGTGGTGCTTAGTGGGCCATCCATGTTTAGCGCTCAATGCATGCACGTTATGTACACGTACATGTACATGTACGTGGACCCATGCAGTCCACTTCACCATAACGGGGGTTGGGTGTGACCAAGGCCACTCCATCAACGGGCATACAAAATGTTTGTTGCATGTGAAGTTGCTCGGCACCGCATGCTTAGACTTAGAGCTCGAAGCTCTAAATGTAAAAAATGAAAAAGGCATCGTGGGTTTGCTGACGTTCTAAATGATCCTACTTAATTTGTGTTCTGTGTTAGCAATGAAGCTACTGGAGTAATGTAAGGCCTGATGCACTTTGTCTTTTTTCTTTCAAGTTTTGACCAAAATGAAACTAGTAGGAGAAGTGGTAGTAGTATTACCGACTATAGTTGGATCATAAACTTAGTGCGTCTTGTGGAACAAGTTAGCATTGCAATGGATTACAATTTAACAAGGTGGTGTCCAATTTTTCACGACTTATATGTGATGTTTATGAAAGTGTTATGCATTATGTAACTTGGCTTTATTCGGCTTATTTTACATGCCAGATTTTAAGCAAAACTGCAAGGGCTAATTCTGCTCATTGATCACTGCATGCAAGCCAATATCTTGAAGTGATACAAAGGAATATGCACAATTGATGACATAAAAAAATTAAGTAAGATGACACTTGAACCCTCTTTGTCACTTTATGTCAGATGGTTAGTGGATGGATAAAACATTAAAGGAAAATTATGTAGTTTTGTTAGACAATCTTCTTTAAAGTTTAACATTCAGTTTCGATTTTCCCTAACCATTAGTGCTGTCCAGTGAAAATGCCGGGTCATATTTCAATCGGGGATCACCTTATGTGCACAATGGTTTACTTTATCAGATTATCTAAAGATTGGAATTTGTACACGATATTCCCTGCTACCTTTTTCCTTGATGTGACATGACTTTGCTAGCTAAACGCTAGAGATAAATGCCTGAGCTCACATAATATATCTGTTATCTTAACATTTGAATGCCTTCTCTGATAATAAAAAAAATCAAAATGCAATTATTTACCTAGATGCTTATCAATTATATCGTGAAGCTAAAATTGTTAATGTGTTAAAAAAGTTGATTTAAATTGTTTAGGACATAGCTCAGTTTCTCCATTAGAGATGGTATTGTGTTAAAGAACACGGCCTACACTTGTAATTTCTTTCTTACATAGTCACACCTGACCTTTACTGCCACAGATATGAATGTTGTTGCCGTTTTTGTCAAGTGTGAGGATATTAAGGGCTTGATTTCTTATGAACCATGTATGTTATGTCTGCGATGAAGAAGAAACTTGCACATTTTCAAGAGAAACAAAAACAAATTAGTTAGGCTTCAGTCGCTTGAAGGTTCATTAATTAAATGTTGAGTGATCCCCGGTCATGTCAAGTCACCAGTTTAGATAGCTACAAAGTTTCAAGTAATTTTGTGTGCAAATCAAAATTGTTAAGTACAAGACCCTTATGAAAGACTTTTGGCGAATCATTAGTAATATGCTACATATCAAATAAAATAAAAGAAGTTTTCAAAAACTGAGGGTATTGGTTAAAAAACTGTTAAACTGTGAAATAGATTTGCAGTCATTTTGTACAAGACATGAAATTTATTCAACCTTGAAATCTGGCATGTCACCCATCCAATATCAATGAAACAAAACCAAATTATTTATGACCCTTGAGGCTTCGACACTTGGCCACTTTATTGTTTGTTAGAATTCTAAATGTAACAGTAACACGAGAAACAATGAATCCTGTCTAAGCAATAACAATAAAAAGAACAGTCTTTTAATATTTTACCTGTTTCTATCTTTGCAGTGGTTGACTTAAACATAGCTGCACCGCTTGCGACAGATGAAACAGAGAACATGGACTTGGATGCTGATATTGACGCTGGTAAGTGCCTATCAACAGAAAGTTAATCGATTTAGTGCCTTCTATAAGCCAGGTCAACTGTAGAAAGTTCGTAAGGAAAAACTGGTGTGGAAGTTCTTGAACTGAAAATATGAGGATTATGTATTTTTATTTCAGACGTCTTTAAGCGTAAGCTTTCAGTTGTTATACTGCCGGAAAAAAAATTGCAAGATTTCAATTTGAATCATGGTTAGGAAACTTTTAAAAATCCGCTAGATGTAGGGGTTTGCGCAGGATTTTGCGTACAATGTAGCTAGCCAAGTTACAGCCATTTCAGGTTAGGCTTGATGCACTTGGAAAAGTACAAAAATGTCTATTATTAAATGCTCGCATGGAGGTTTCTGAGGATTCAGACAGATTTTATACTAAATGTTGAAGTTTTGGTGACTGACTGGGATATGGAATAGGGTGTGCCTAAAAACTTATCCTATAAATAACACAAAGTTTTGGATACAGTCTGCTTTTTTTCAAAAGAAGCATTTGGTGAAAATGCTCAGTCTGCCTTTACTTTTAAGACCAATTTCAAAAAGGTAAAATTATTAAGAAAAACTTAAAGCTCAGTCGCTTTGCCTTACCATAAAAATGCTTTTTCATCAGTGACCTGTTAGTTACCAAGACAAGGGCATCTCTCTCACATTTATGGAAAAAATTAAGTGATATTTTGTGGTACAAGCATAGTGCGAGAATGCTCAGAATGGAAAATTGATCAGTGTTTTAAAATTGTTAGAATTTTCTTTTTTCTGGACGATAATTTTCCACAACTTTTCTTCTAAACGGTACATTGGAATGAGCATGTAACTTTGAACAAACATCAACCTTGAATGATCCTGAAGTGTGCATATTACTGTGACGTCATGATGACCTCATCAGGTATCAAATTACATGTGATTTTAGTTGGAAAAAGTGACCAATTCTTTTTACTCTTGAACAAACGATCAATCATGATCATACTTTGTTATCCGATAGACCATTCATTAATTGATAAACATTTTTTGTCATGTACATAAAGTCACTAGACCTTTACTGATGGGGCTACTGGAAGGTGAAAGTAAGGTGAATTCAAATATAGACAGGAGCCTCAAATCAAAACAAACCAAAAGTTCTTCAAAACTGTTCATGGGATGATGATAAAACTGGGTATTAACTTGAACCCTGGTCCAAAGAAGTGGTAAATTTTGTGACCTCATGATGACATCCCCAGTTATCAAATTACAATTGATTTAAGGTCAAAATGTGACTAAATAATTTCAACTTTAACTTTGCAAATTAATGGAAATCTCTCTCATTTTTGTGTCGCCTGAACAAAGTTTGGGAGACACTTACCACTCCTAAATTCTGTATGACCGTAGACCCGTATGACCGTAGACCTATATTAAACCTAACGTACCTGAATTTATCAAAATCCGCACCCCTGTTTTTATTTCGCCGGATTCAGGATACCTTCATATTGAACAAGTTGGGGGATTTTGATGGATTCAGGACAGTAAGCCTAGCGGTAATGCAGGATTTTGATGGATTCAGGATACTTCCATATTGAGCAGTTGCGGGACTTTGATGGATTCAGGATCTTAACAGTTTAACTCCTTGGCTGTACGTTGTGTGTGTACGAGGTATATGTACCACACTGGTGGATTCTGTTGGATTCACTGGTGGATTCTGATGGACTCAGGACACCAACAAAATTGATGGATTTTGGTGGATTCAGGATACTTTATTTTAAAAGTGCTCAAGGGGTTAGGCCAAAAAAAAAGTCTCCGGTTTCTGGTATGCGCGCGCGTCGCCGTAGCCATGCGCGTCGGCAAAATGAAAAAGGTTTTTTTTTCAATAAAAGATGATGTCTCAAAACCGCCAAACTCACTGGTTTGACTGGAATTCTGCTGCTGCACAATTTTAACGTGTTTTTAGATTGGGTTATGGTCGACAATAAGCTTTATGTGGCCTCTCTGGACTGCCATACATTTGCACCAAGTTTAGTCGGGCACCATTTGCAGTCATCAGCCGACATTGGAAGCAAAAAAATCAGGTAAAAAAAAAAAAAAAGCCGCGTCACCGCACCACTTTTTGGGCAAGCTCCATACCAGAAACCGGAGACTTTTTTTTTTTGGCCTTAGGGTTAAAGTTTAGAAAAAATGTATAACTTCTACATGCTTTCATGGATTTTGATGAAAGTTGGATGCAGTGACCCTTGGTTGGGAAGACACAATTCTTCATCGGATTACTGTGGTCAAAGGTCATGTAGGGGTCATCAGAGGTCATCGTTCAAATATATGCTTCAAATGTTCCTTTGCCTACAGAATTTGATGGATTTTAATGTCACTTGGAAGTCCTTAGGTGGGGGTTCATCACAACTCTTCCAAAATTGGAGGTCAAAAGTCATGTAGGGGTCATTTGAGGTCGTTTAACCCTAACGTACCTGAATCCATCAAAATCCACCCCCCTGTTTCGGGGGATTTCGGCGGATTCAGGATACCTCCATATTGCACAAACTGGGGGATTTTGATGGATTCAGGATTGGAAGCCTAGCGGAACTGGCGGATTTTGATGGATTCAGGATACCTCTATTTTGAGCTGTTGGGGGACTTTGATGGATTCAGGATCTCGACAGTTAAACTCTTTTGCAATGTTTGTGGTCAATTAAATACTGCTGGCACGAGCCCTGCCAAGTCTGTCACATACTGTACAAGCATGCACTGTACACACATGTACCAGTACTGGGTGGATGGGAGCTTTTGACTGGGGCTATAAATAGGCCTCAGCATATAAACAATGGATTGTGTTAATAACCCATCCAGACAATGAGTACCGAAGTGTGACGTCATTTAGAACCAAAAAGTGTAGTGCAGACGAATGGAGTACGCGCGCGTGTGGGTTTACGGCATAGATATAGAATAAAAAGACTAGATCGGCAGTGCGTCCACACGCGGGGACTTGCATGGAGGGTCACGTGCTGGAGGAAAGATACAAATAATGCGCGAAAACGTGACAAACGCAATGCCATTTACGCGCATAGAGCACCATGTGCATAGCTATTAATTATGTGTGCGCATCGCGTAAATACTCGGTACGCATTTCTTGCTTCGCGCGCGTTGAGCTAGGTCACGTGCTGGAGGAAAGATACATTTAGCTCCATTACTTTACGTTAATTTGTTGCGCATCTACGAGAGACAACCTAAATGGCGGAGATTTATCGCACAGCGAATGGACGCGTGTGGACGCGCTGCCGATCTAGTCTTTTCATTCTATGGTTTACAGGCTGAAACACGCGCTAATGTCTTTCACACAAATTTTGTGCGCGAGACATATTCACTTTGGTACTCCATGCTGGGGTCGCCATGCATCAATTGGTGTATTTTGATGGATCCTATGCAACAACACACATCACAATTTTCATGCGAGCATGGTATCCTGAATCCGTCAAAATCCACCAGAAATTTAGGTGATGGATTTTGAAGACTCTATGGAAAAACATGCTGTATTTTTTTTTTATGCCACCATGGTATCCTGAATCCGCCAGAATCCATCAAGACTTTTGCTGGTGGATTCTGGCGGATTCAAGATACCTCCAGTATCTACACTGGGGGATTCTGATGGATTCAGGATACCAGCATTTTTTTGCATAACAAAATTGGTGGATTTTGGCGGATTCAGGATACTTTCTAGTAAAAGAGCCCCAGGAGTTAGGGTTAAAAATGCACAGAATTTGACCTTTTTTATTAAGAGGTTGTGGAATGCTGAAAGTCGTTTTGTTTTTTATATTTTTTTTATTGTAGAGTACGTAGACCCATATATATCATAATGACAAAGTCCCATTCTTTTGTAATGTGCGTTTATATGTTTATAAAACTGAAATTCATCGAGTAATTTGTTGGTCGGCGAGCGCATAATTGAAATCAACAGTGGTCGGGTTCTTCATAAAATGCGCTCAGAAAGGAATGTGTTAGAAAGGAATGCCAGACACACACAAAATGACGTCATCACCTGAAAGGGTGCCCTCTAGCGGCACATTAAATACAGTTATTAACCTTTTTAAAGCTCTGGCAGGAGCTTCTACATGTCACTTGGTGGTCGATCGGTCGGTTTGTCTGTCTGATTGTCTGTCCCGGAAAATTGACCAAAAATATTCGACCAAAAATTGACCAAATGCCATGCCATCCTCAGTAAATGCACTCTTGACGAAAGTTGTCGGAAAACCGGCGTTGTCTCTATCGATGCGCACCATTTGCATATGTCTGTCCCCATAAAATTGACCAAAAAACGAGCCCCCTAAGTTTTCCATAAAATATAACTACCAAATTTTAATTGAAAGAAAAAAGCAAACAAAAGAAATGAAATACTTATAGGTCTGACAATTCGTAAAGTCGTTAATGAAAATTTTGTAAATGGAGGCAAGGTAATGTGCGGTAATGTTATAGTCACATGGTATCAGGGTTGGCAATTTTTTTGATTTTTAAAAAAAAATCCAAAAAGATTGGATTTATTTGATTTAAATCAGACTTTTTTGATGTAAACAGATGTTTTTGATTTTTTTAACTTTCAAAATATTGATATGTCTAAATATGTGTCTAAATCTCCCCATGCACCCTCCCACCCATCACTAAGGAGTTTACAGGTTCCAATAATACCCATCATCCACAAAACTCAACAAATTGATAAATGCTTTTGAAAAAATTGTATTGAATCAGTGATTTAAACAAATACTTGATTTCTTCTACATGTAGTCTACATCATTGGTTCAATGGTACATTAATACCGAAGACACTTTAAAGGCGTATTGCTTGATTGATACAGCTGAGTTACGTTGTGTGTGGATATGAATGAAAACTTGATTTATGGTACCTGTACATGGTATACAAAAAAATACGACACTTCTCCATGGGCAAGTTGATTTCATAAAAATGCTTCTAATTTCAAACCCGGAGGCACTGATCCTTGTGTAACTTGATTGATGATGGTCCAAGGTGGAGAACAGAAATCAGGCCTTCACCTTTAATAGGTTTTATATAAATCTCAATCTAAATTTGTAGGGAGAAACGTTAGGAATAAGACTATCAATTGGGACTTTTAATACACCTTTTGATGGTTCATGTCAGCCTACACCAGCACAGTTGATTCACAATATTACTGTAAACAGATCAAGGAATGATTAAAGCAAATGTGAGTGTGCTCTCTTTAAAATTAAAAACTTTGAAGAAAAACTTTTAAACTCAGATCTTGACTTAATCAAAACCACGATTTTGTGTAATTATGCAAAACCTAAATTGAGTCAATGGTGGTGAAGTAGGGGTGTTTCAATGTATTAACAACATCTTACACTTTGTAATTAAGTGGAATCAGTTGATTTAAATGATTAAAATGACCCTTAATCAATTGATTTTGCCAAAAATAAGATTTTTACAAAAAAGTGATTTAAATCAGTGATTTTTATAAAAAAATCATTTGATTTAAATCGCGATTTAAATCAGTGATTTAAATCAATGTGATTTAAATCAGCCAACCCTGCGTGGTATATAGCGCGCTATTTTTATGGGAAATTTAGGGGGCTTATTTTGGTCAATATTCAGTGTGTGGGACGGCGGCCCGGGCTTGTCGCGTACTTGCGGACAATGATTTCATGCAAGACTTTCATGCAAGGCGGCCAGCGCTTATTTTGCAATCATGCTTGTTAACTTAAAACCACTTGTCAACATTTTACCAAATTGCTCACAGATATTCTTTGGACAACCGCAAATGACCTTGCAAGGTTTCAGAACCATGTTATCATCAGACTGGACATTATTGTTGGGAGAATTTTAAATTTATCAGTTTTTTTTTTTTTTTAAACAAGTCCATCTTTTGATCCGTGTCAATGACTATGTTCTTAGCACAAATAATGATATCCGGTACAGTGTTGACCTTGAGCATCAAATGCTGTGATGTCATCAAACCGGACATTGGATGTGTTATTAACACATGTATGCACTTAAACATTTATTGTAATATCCATATTTTCAGAAGATCTTTTTACTTCATGATGAACATGTATCCTCTCTGAACTAAATCAATGTTCAGTTTGCACATTTTTAACTGATGACGTCATCGAACTGGAGAGAACTTGTACTTGTAAACAAAATATACGTATATTTGTATATTTTTGTTTTAAAATAAAACAAATGGTTCCACTGGGAAGCCTGAATTTCATGATTTTTTTCTGTTCTGTCAAAAATATTCACATCTTATCTGGGTAGTGCCCATAAAATTAGGCTTTTTGGTCTGCCCGACCATCCTGCATTTGTAACTCAACAAAAGTAAATCTCTATTTAACTTCTATTTTTTACAGTTGAAACTCCCTTTAATAATTAGATTTCAATGTTGTAGATTACTTGTTTCAAATAGATATATAATCTTAAATTAGTCAGCGTTTGGCACATTAAATGACTGATCTTTAACCTAATTTTTGTCCGTGAGGTTTTATTACTATTATGAGAACCTTAACAGCCTGTTAAAAATGTAGACCTTTGAACTTTCACTGAACTTGTCATTTTCAAACAAGTGTGACTGCACAATAAGCTCTGGCCGTCTTGCATGAAAGTCTTGCATGAAATGATACCATTACTCACTTGGTCATGATTGTCAATTGAAATAAGGATTTCCCAAATTGTTGCAAGTCGCAAGATGCAAAATAATAGTGACCTTCATAACGCAACTGTATCCTCACTCCTATGCCCTGAAGACTCATTAAACTGACACAGGGCCAGAGGCAGGGGTGATGTATAGTGACAGGTGTTTAGAAGCCTCCTAAGTTCGTAGTGCACAAAAATACCACGTGACTATAACATTACCACACGTTATCTTGCCTCTATTCAAAAATTACTTAAACAATGTTACAAATTGTTACAAACAATTTTTGTCAAGTATTTAATGTATTTTTTTTTTGGACGGTTACAATTTGGTACTTACAGTTTGATGGGTGAGTTAAGGGGTTCGTTTTCCGTCATTTTTTGGGGGGGGGAGGGACCGACAGACCACCCGAGTGACTTGTAGAAGCTCAGTTGTCGGAGCTTAAAAAGCACCCGCCACAGATTTCTTAACATAACATAAATATTTACAATGAAATTATTGAAATTGCACCAAACCCTAGAAACTGTGCATGCATTAACTGTTTACACACAGCTTGCAACAGTTTGCCATCTGTTTACGCAAAGCCATCGTTGAAATAAAAAGTAAACCAGGTCTAATTTACGTTTATAAAGTTAACTCCCTAAATCATCTTTCAAAAACACTTTTGGGGGATTGTGTATGCATGGGTTATTCTGTTTTACCTCAGTACCTGTGCCACAAGACCGACTTGGTCCAGTTTACTTGACATGTCACACCACCCATTCACTGGCCATACAAAGATATGCTACCTAACATGTTGCATGGAACTGAAGTGTTGTTTTCTCATAGAGGTCATTCATAAGTTTAATTTATACAGGATAGTACCTACAACTACAACCACCATAAAATGACAGCTCAAAGGTATACCTTTGATATACCTTTGATAGACTATACTCTATAGTGGCCCATATAGTCATGGTAATGTTCATGTATGTTACATGATGTATAATGGTTTTTAAGGTTTTGGCCAAAGAAATGTTATGCTTTGCTGGCTCCTTCCCAGTCTTCACCCTACCCTGACCATCCATGTCTTTATAATTTTAAGCAAGTCGGATCGGTGATTGTGCAATTTCTTTTCACCTAGGGGAAAATTCAGTGGCTGAGACGCATGAACTGTAATAAATAAAGTACAGTTTAAAGTCATAGCCATAACTAGTAAAAACAGTCACTTGATTGGTTTTGACTGTTTGTTCAATTTCTCAGCCTTTAGGCACACCATGGCTAAAATTTGGTTGGTGGTTTGTGAAAAAAAAATCATATTTATCTATGCTTCTGCTGGATGAGCACATAGAAGTAGCAGGTCATGTCAAGAATTAAATACTTGAGGCAAAAGGTGTTATCTTAACCCATTGGTCACTGTAACCCTTCAAAATCCAACTGCATGTTTTGTTGAAATCTGTTGGGGTCAGACTCATTTATGAGCAATCAGACAATTGATCTTTGAATGGTTATTAATCGAAAAATATTTTAAGTTAAACGTTTACTTAACCAGTTGACTCTGCATTTATGATCATAGAAAAGAAAATCATGTTTAAGGTGTAGGATTTCCCTGGATCATTTGAAAATCGCCTTCACTCAAAACTGCTCAACAGCCGCAGTCTTGTACATGTATTTCTTATGTCACACTTGCTTTTCAGTAAATGCTCACATTCTTCACCTAGTTACAGGGTTCAATTGAAGATTTTACATTATTAAAATATTTGGTGAATTTTTATTACAATGATTTCTCTATTACTTTTTTGGAGTGTGAGATTTTCTTGGGAGATTTCTTGTTTAGTTCACTGAATAATTACAATTGTACATGTATCTGGTCTTATGATCAGTCAGTTTTCAACTCCAAATTAACTTAAATGTAGTGCATATAGCTAGAAATTTAAGATTCAGAAGTAAGATAGGATTGTGAATGTTATTTTCACAATCTCATTCCCTTCGTGGACACATTGCAGACGAGCAAACCCCATGTATTGTACACAACTCTACGACGTATACAATAACACAGAGTTAGCTATAGCCACAGCGCGATCATATTACAATCGCCCAACGGCAGCGCGTTGACCACACACAGTCAGTCATCACGCCACACTGAGCCAGTCAGGTTCCTAGTTACGAATAACAGTATAACACTATGGCCTACTCATTGAGCCAGGCAAGCGACTGTGACACAGCGAATGTAGCGTTTGAGATAAACCATTTTCACTTTCGTCACGTTCATAAATTTGGCCCAAAAAACGGCCATGTTGAACTAAGGGATTTCCTTAAACGAATACGGAGTAAAGACTAGACCTTTGATATTTTTAGGCAATGAAAATGAAATGTTAAAAAAGCGTTTTCACAAAATAGATCGTTTTTGTGCCGGAATTATAGGGGCGTACATGAAGGCACTACTACACGGTAAGTGCATTCGATCACGTTGTCGCGTGCAGGATTCACTGCATAATAGACCAACGCGAAACAGATTCTTTTCTAGAATTGGTCTTGTGATACTGAACTAATATACACGTTTGGTACAGACCAAAAGCTTGAATAATGTCTGTGGAAACCAAAAAGCATTAAAATTAAGACTTGAAAGCGGATGTTTATTTTCCAACATTTTTAACACCCCTATTTTTTGAATGGAAGAGGCACACAGAAGGCCATTCGCGCTCGGCTGTGGGGCCCCCCTCCTCCCTCCCCTGATGTGACCTGTGTGTAGTGATCTGTTCACACAACCCCCCCCCCCCCCATATGCATGTATATAGTTGATGAATAATTGATGAAAGTTTTCGTTGCATTTCTTGTAGGTGGAACTTTAGATGTATCTGGTGAAGCCTCGGGAGATTTTGGTGGAAGTGCTGGCCTAAAGGTTAGTTTATCATTTTGAGCCTACTTCTAAAAATCACATATGCAGTTATATGTACATGTATATCCCAAAAGACACCACAGTTTGATCTGAATTCAGAAAAAAACTGCATGAATTTGCCAGCATGATAATGAAAATCAAATGGTGCATTTGGCCAGGAAAACCTATAAACTTTTAAAAGATATATATATTTGTTTTCCTATAAATATATTTTTTAATTTCCCAACCGTTGATGGTTAAAGAAAAGTATTTCTTAAAAGCAAGAACTGCTATACAAAAATGTGCCTAAATTGATGCATTAATTAACCAATTTGTGCCGGAGGCCGTGATAATACGCACTGGCTGTTTTTGTGCACATGCACGGCTGACGGGTTAAGACGTTAAGATTGCCTCGACCTGCCTCTGGGTGACGTCTAAACACGCTAATCCCTCGTGCCTTTTGTACACACACAAAGTCCATGTAGTCTGTGGAGGCGGACCGTGTGCTGACTGTTGTGTGGGCCGTTGTGCATGGCCTATTGTTCCACTCCAGTGCACTTACCGAACTATTTAAACATACAAGGTTTCGCCAAGAAATATTATACTGTTGAAATTACTCTTGCAAATCAGTATTTGTGGCATTTGGCTGTATATCAGAAGTTGGTTGGGAAAATTTGCCTTTCGAATTTCGAAATTTTCGACAAAAATAAACCTGAACTGTTTAAAGATATTTGGAGATTTCACTTCCATTCTATGTTTACGATGTTTGTGTTCATCCATACAGCATCTTTGTGCAAATTAAGTGAGGCAGCCTCAAATTCTTAATACCCATCTATAGTCTCATTGACAGGAGTTATTTGAATTTTTTTTCAGGCCAACATTCCGTCTGGAGCATCTGCAGGTGTTGGCGTAAGTGGGGATATGCCCTCTGCAGGTGCAAGTCTTGATGTGTCTGCACCAGATGTGAAACTGAGCGTGAATGGAAATAAACACAAAAAGCGATCATCTTTCCCTAAGTTCAGAAAAAGAACTCCTGTTGAGGCGGAGTTGGATGTTGAACTTCCCAAGGGTGAAGCAGAGACTGGTGGAGGCATAGATGTAGCAGCTGGCATCAATGGACACAAAGGACAGAAACACAGGAGGAAGAAAAATCAAGAAGCAGGAGTTAAAGTGAAAACACCATCACTTTCTGCAGGAGGAGGAGCAGACATGGATATCGACATACCTGCAGTAGAAACACCTCAGGCTGGTTCTTCAGGTGGTGCTGATGTTGATGTAAATGCTTCACTCCCTTCAGCTAATGTAAATGTCAAAGCTGATATGCCAGAAGCAAAAGTACATTCTCCAAAGAAAGGTGGTTTCTTCGCCGGGATAGCCAAGTTCTTCACTGGAGATTCATCTGATTCAGATTCTGATGATGAGACCAAAAAACTCAAACAAGAGATAAATCTTCCTAAAGGAAATTTATCTGTTGAATCTCCAGGAGCTGATGTAAGAGGTGATGTGGATGCCAACCTAGACACATCAGCAAATATCAGCGGGTTTCCAGAGGGAGGCGCAAATTTCAACATTGGTGCAAGTGGCAAAGGTTCTCCATCTAAAGGAAAGAAGGGAGGAAGGTTCAAGTTGCCCAAGCTTGGAAAGCCAAAAATAAATGGCAGCACTGATGCAGGAGTAGAAGTTGCAAATGCTGATCTGGGAGGAGTTGTTGGATTTGATGTTGAAGCTCCAGATGTTGTGGTGAAAGCTGATGTTGACACTAATGTTAAAACAAAAAAGCCAGATTTTAAATTTGGTGGCGGTGTGTATGGGGATGGTGAACTTGGCACCAAAGGAGATCTTGCAGGACCAGATGTTTCCAGTCCAAAAAATGGTGTCAATGCAGATATTGATGGAGGAGTGAATGTTCCATATGCATCACCTGGTGTAAGGGGAGATATTAAAGCTCCCAGCATTGGTGGAAGCATCGGAAGTGGTTTTGGCAGAAGTGGGGGACTCGGCATGAAAGGAGATACTTCATTACCTGATGTCGATCTATCCGGTCCACAAATTGGTGGTGATGCACACATTGGAGAAAGAGGGAATGTACCGGATGCTTCAGTGGGTATTGGTGGAGATGTTAAAGTTCCTGGCATTGGTGGTGGTTTCAGTGGTGACAGTGATGTGGCCATTGAAAGAGGTATTTCTGGACCTGATGTTGATGTATCTGCTCCAAACTTTGGCGGTAAAGTGAATGTTCCAGATGCCTCACTGGATGTTGATGATGTGAAAGCCCCCAGCTTTGGTGGTGGTGTTGGTGGTCACATTGGACTTGGTGTCAAAGGAGGTATATCTGGACCTGATGTTGATGTATCACCCCCAACCATTGGCGGCAAAGGAAACATTGGAGGAAAAGTGAATGTACCAGATGCTTCACTGGATGTTGGTGATGTGAATGCCCCCAGCTTTGGTGGTGGTGTTGGTGGTGACATTGGATTTGCTGCCAAAGGAGGTATATCTGGGCCTGATGTTGATGTATCACCCCCAACCATTGGCGGCAAAGGAGACATAGGAGGAAAAGGGGAAGTACCAGATGCTTCACTGGATGTTGGTGATGTGAAAGCCCCCAGATTTGGTGGTGGTGTTGGTGGTGACATTGGATTTGGTGCCAAAGGAGGTATATCTGGACCTGATGTTGATGTTTCACCCCCAAGCTTTGGCGGTATAGGAAACATTGGAGGAAAAGGGAAAATACCAGATGCTTCACTTAATGTTGATGATGTGAACGCCCCCAGCTTTGGTGGTGGTGTTGGTGGTGAAAGTGGACTTGGTGTCAATGGAGGTATATCTGGACCTGATCTTAACATCGGTGATGACACAAACATTAGAGGATTGAATGTACCAGATGCCTCTGTGGGCATTGGAGGTGACGTGAAAGCGCCAAGTTTTGGCGGTGGTATTGGTGTCAGTGGTAGTGGTCCAAAGGGTGGGATTTCCAGCCCTGACATTGATGTTCCTGCTCCATCGGGTAGTATTGATGTTAGTGCAGATGTGCCAGATGCAAAACTTGATCTCAGCAGCAAAAAGGACAAGGGAGGTTTCCACTTCAGACTTCCAAAGTTCAGATTTCCGTCATTTGGGTCGGGTGATGCCAAAGCAAAAGGCAATGTTTCTGTGAAAGGACCAGAGGGAAGATTGAGTGTTAACTCTGACTTTGACGTTGTTGGAGATGCAGACATTGATGTCAAGGCCAAAGGCCCAAATGTACAAAGTGATGTTAAAGGACCCTCTGGAAGCAAATTGGGTTCAGTTGATGTTGATGCCCCTGGTATTGGAGGTGATTCTGAGGCCAGAGTAAAATTGCCCAAGGGATCAGTTGGCATGTCTGGGTCGCTTGATGTTGATTCACCAGAGTATGAGGGAAAAGGATCAGGCAAAAAGAAGGGTTTCCAGTTTGGTTTGCCATCTTTTAACTTTGGAGGAAAGGTGCCAAAATCTGATGTTCCAGATGTGGATATCAATGCCAGTGCAGGTGTTGATGTGGAGAAACCAGACACAGATGTTGATATTAAAGTTGGAGCACCAGGAGTGGATGTGGGTTTGCCTAAAGGTGATATTAGAGCAGGAATTGGAGGCTCATTTGGAGGAGCTTCAGGGTTGGGTGGCATCAGTCCCCCAGATGTTGGTGCAGATGTAAATGTTCAAAAGGGCAAAATGTCAATTGATGATCCAGATCTTGATGGAACACTTGTAGTTGATGGAAATGTCAAAGGACCAGAAGGAGCATTTGGGTTTAAAGGTGGGAGTATTGATTTGAAAGGACCTGACCTGGGAGGCGTACAAAAATCAGTTGATGTTGAGGTTGAAACCCCAAAGCCTAGTGCAGGTATTGATGTTGATGTTCCAAGTGGCAAGTTGTCTGCAGGAGGTGACGTGTCTGGTTCTCTTGGTGTTGATCCACCAGTGGCAGACCTGAGCTTAAATGGAAAGGCATCTGGAAAAGGTAAAAAATTCCATCTACCAAGTTTTAACCTCCCAAGCTTACCCAAGTGGAAGGGCAAGGGTAAAGCTGAAGTTGACATTGACGGTCAAGACTTGGATGCGAAGGTTGGAGCAGGTGGAGACATTAGTGTGAGCGGTGATGCAAATTTGCCAGATGTTGATGTGAATGCTCCTGAGGTAAAAGGGGATCTTGGAGCAGACGCTAATCTGTCTCTTGATAGCAAAGGAAAAGGGTCAAAAAAGAAAACGGGGGGCGGATTTCATTTTCCATCATTCAATTTTGGATTTTCTCCTCCAAAGCACAAGCATGGGAAAGTGTCAGGAGATCTTCCAGAGGTTGATATAAAAGGTGATGCAGATGTTGCAATTTCAGGTGGAGTTGCTGAAAAAGGACATGGTGATGCTAGCTTTGGTGGAGACCTGGACGTTGGAGGAAACTTGAAAGGTCCAAAGCTGTCTGGTCCTGACATAAATGTGGATTTTGGAGGCAGTGGTGGGGGAAAAGTAGATTTGCCTGAGGGAGATGCCTCACTTGGCTTCGGCTTAAAAGGAAGAGGAGATGGGAGCAGCTCTAGTGATTCAGAATCTGATGATGGCAAGAGAGGCTTTGGCCTGAAAGGTGGTATCAAAGGCCCAAAAGTGAAAGGAGGTGTTGGCGGTAAACTGAAAGGACCAGAAATTTCAGGTGATACAGACGGCCCAGATGCTGATGTGAAGGGTGGTGCTGGCATTGGTATTGGAGTTTCTGGTGGCATTGATCTCCCCAAAGGAGGTGCAGATGTGGATGCAAATCTACCAAAGGGCTCTGTTGATTATGAAGGACCAGATCTTGGTGGGGTTAGCAAATCCTTGGATGTTGATGTAAAAGCCTCAAAACCTGATGCTGATGTTTCTATTGATCTTCCAAGTGGAAAGCTTTCAGGTGATGCAGACATTGGAGTAGATGCAGATATTGATGCAGACATTGATCTTGGAGGCAAACATAGGGGATCTGGCAAGAAAAAGGGGAAATTCCACTTGCCCTCAATTAACATGCCCTCCATACATTTACCAAAGGGTAAAGGCAAGGGGCATGGTGATGTAGACTTGGATGGAGGACTTCAGATTGAAGGGGACATCAAAGGTCCAAAGGTGTCTGGTCCTGACATGGATGTGGATGTCAGTGGGGGAGCAGGAGGAAAAGTGGAGCTGCCTGAAGGAGGTGGCTCGATTTCTGTTGAAGGACCAAAGATTGGAGGTGGTGTAGGTGTTGATGATGATGGTAAAGCATCTAAACCAGACATTGGCCTGTCAGGTAAAGTTCCAGGTGCGTCTATTGGAGGAAGTGTTGATGGCCCTGATATAGATGTCAATTTGTCAGGCGGTGGCAAGAAGAAAAAACCGAAAAAGAAAACAGGTGGGGGGTTTCACATGCCGTCATTTGGCTTTGGCTTTAAAGGAAAGGGAGATGACACCAGCAGCTCAAGTGATTCTGAATCAGATGATGGCAAGGCAGGCTTTGGCCTGAAAGGTGGTATCAAAGGCCCAAAAGTGAAAGGAGATGTTGGTGGAAAATTGAAAGGACCAGGAATATCAGGTGACATAGACGGCCCAGATGCTGATGTGAAGGGTGGTGCTGGCATTGGTGTTGGAGTTTCTGGTGGCACTGACCTCCCCAAAGGAGGTGCAGATGTGGATGTAAATCTACCAAAGGGCTCACTTGGTTTTGAAGGACCAGACCTTGGTGGGGTTAGCAAATCCTTGGATGTTGATGTTAAAGCCTCAAAACCTGATGCTGATGTTTCTGTAAATCTTCCAAGTGGAAAGCTTTCAGGCGATGCAGACATTGGAATAGATGCAAATATTGATGCAGACATTGATCTGGGAGGCAAACATAGGGGATCTGGCAAGAAAAAGGGGAAATTCCACATGCCCTCCATTAACATGCCCTCCATACACTTTCCAAAGGGTAAGGGCAAGGGGCATGGCGATGTTGACTTGGATGGAGGCCTTCAGATTGAAGGGGACATCAAAGGTCCAAAGGTGTCTGGTCCTGACATGGATGTGGATGTCAGTGGGGGAGCAGGAGGAAAAGTGGAGCTGCCCGAAGGAGATGGCTCAATTTCTGTTGAAGGGCCAAAGATTGGAGGTGGTGTAGGTGTTGATGATGTTAAAGCATCTAAACCAGACATTGGCCTGTCGGGTGAAGTTCCAGGTGCGTCTATTGGAGGAAGTGTTGATGGCCCTGATATAGATGTCAATTTGTCAAGTGGGGGCAAGAAGAAAAAAACAAAAAAGAAAGGAGGTGGAGGATTTCACATGCCATCATTTGGCTTCGGCTTTAAAGGAAAGGGAGATGGAACCAGCAGCTCTAGTGATTCAGAATCTGATGATGGCAAGAGAGGCTTTGGCATGAAAGGTGGTATCAAAGGCCCAAAAGTGAAAGGAGGTGTTGGCGGTAAACTGAAAGGACCAGAAATATCAGGTGACATAGACGGCCCAGATGTTGATGTGAAGGGTGGTGCTGGCATTGGTATTGGAGTTTCTGGTGGCATTGATCTCACCAAAGGAGGTGCAGATGTGGATGCAAATCTACCAAAGGGCTCTGTTGATTATGAAGTACCAGATCTTGGTGGGGTTAGCAAATCCTTGGATGTTGATGTTAAAGCCTCAAAACCTGATGCTGATGTTTCTATTGATCTTCCAAGTGGAAAGCTTTCAGGCGATGCAGACATTGGAATAGATGCAGATATTGATGCAGACATTGATCTGGGAGGCAAACATAGGGGATCTGGCAAGAAAAAGGGGAAATTCCATATGCCCTCAATTAACATGCCTTCCTTACACTTTCCAAAGGGTAAAGGCAAAGGGCATGGTGATGTTGACTTGGATGGAGGACTTCAAATTGAAGGGGACATGAAAGGTCCAAAAGTGTCTGGTCCTGACATAGATGTGGATGTTAGTGGGGGTGGTAGAGGAAAAGTGGAGCTTCCTGAAGGCGATGGCTCAATTTCTGTTGAAGGCCCAAAGATTGGAGGTGGTGTAGAAGTTGATGCTGATGGTAAAGCATTTAAACCAGACATTGATTTGTCAGGTAAAGGTCCAAGTGCATCGATTGGAGGAAGTGTTGATGGGGGCAAGAAGAAAAAACCAAAAAAGAAAGCAGGTGGAGGATTTCACATGCCGTCATTTGGCTTTGGCTTTAAAGGAAAGGGAGATGGAACCAGCAGCTCAAGTGATTCTGAATCAGATGATGGCAAGGCAGGCTTTGGCTTGAAAGGTGGTATCAAAGGCCCGAAAGTGAAAGGAGGTGTTGGTGGAAAATTGAAAGGACCAGAAATGTCAGGTGATATAGAAGGCCCAGATGCTGATGTGAAGGGTGGTGCTGACATAGGTATTGGAGTCTCTGGTGGCATTGATCTCCCCAAAGGAGATGCAGATCTGGATATGAAGCTACCAAAGGGCTCAATCGGTATTGAAGGACCAAATCTTGGTGGGGTTAGCAAATCCTTGGATGTTGATGTCAAAGCCTCAAAACCTGATGCTGATGTTTCTGTTGATCTTCCAAGTGGAAAGCTTTCAGGCGATGCCGACATTGGTGTAGATGCAGATATTAATGCTGACATTGGTCTGGGAGGCCAACACAGGGGATCAGGCAAGAAAAGGGGGAAATTTCACATGCCCTCAATTAACATGCCCTCCATACACTTTCCAAAGGGCAAGGGCAAGGGGCATGGCGATCTTGACTTGGATGGAGGACTTCAAATTGAAGGGGACATCAAAGGTCCAAAGGTATCTGGTCCTGACGTGGATGTGGATGTCAGTGGGGGAGCAGGAGGAAAAGTGGAGCTGCCTGAAGGAGGTGGCTCAATTTCTGTTGAAGGACCAAAGATTGGAGGTGGTGTAGATGTTGATGTTGATGGTACAGCATCTAAACCAGACATTGACATGACAGGTAAAGGTCCACATGCATCTGTTGGAGGAAGTGTTGATGGCCCTGATATAGATGTCAATTTGTCAGGCGGGGGAAAGAAGAAAAAAACAAAAAAGAAAACAGGTGGGGGATTTCACATGCCGTCATTTGGCTTTGGCTTTAAAGGAAAGGGAGATGACACCAGCAGCTCAAGTGATTCTGAATCAGATGATGGCAAGGCAGGCTTTGGCATGAAAGGTGGTATCAAAGGCCCAAAAGTGAAAGGAGGTGTTGGTGGAAAATTGAAAGGACCAGAAATGTCAGGTGACATAGAAGGCCCAGATGCTGATGTGAAGGGTGGTGCTGGCATTGGTATTGGAGTTTCTGGTGGCATTGATCTCCCCAAAGGAGGTGCAGATGTGGATATGAAGCTACCGAAGGGCTCAATTGGTATTGAAGGACCAGATCTTGGTGGGGTTAGCAAATCCTTGGATGTTGATGTTAAAGCCTCAAAACCTGATGCTGATGTTTCTATTGATCTTCCAAGTGGAAAGCTTTCAGGCGATGCAGACATTGGAATAGATGCAGATATTGATGCAAACACTGATCTTGGAGGCAAACATAGGGGATCTGGCAAGAAAAAGGGGAAATTCCACATGCCCTCAATTAACATGCCTTCATTACACTTACCAAAGGGTAAAGGCAAGGGGCATGGTGATGTTGACTTGGATGGAGGACTTCATATTGAAGGGGACATGAAAGGTCCAAAAGTGTCTGGTCCTGACATAGATGTGGATGTTAGTGGGGATGGTAGAGGAAAAGTGGAGCTGCCTGAAGGCGATGGTTCATTTTCTGTTGAAGGACCAATGATTGGAGGTGGTGTAGGTGTTGATGTTGATGGTACAGCATCTAAACCAGACATTGACATGACAGGTAAAGGTCCACATGCATCTATTGGAGGAAGTGTTGATGGCCCTGATATAGATGTCAATTTGTCAGGCGGTGGCAAGAAGAAAAAACAAAAAAAGAAAACAGGTGGGGGATTTCATATGCCGTCATTTGGCTTTGGCTTTAAAGGAAAGGGAGATGACACCAGCAGCTCAAGTGATTCTGAATCAGATGATGGCAAGGCAGGCTTTGGCCTGAAAGGTGGTATCAAAGGCCCAAAAGTGAAAGGAGGTGTTGGTGGAAAATTGAAAGGACCAGAAATATCAGGTGACATAGACGGCCCAGATGCTGATGTGAAGGGTGGTGCTGGCATTGGTGTTGGAGTTTCTGGTGGCACTGACCTCCCCAAAGGAGGTGCAGATGTGGATGTAAATCTACCAAAGGGCTCAATTGGTTTTGAAGGACCAGACCTTGGTGGGGTTGGCAAATCCTTGGATGTTGATGTTAAAGCCTCAAAACCTGACGCTGATGTTTCTGTTGATCTTCCAAGTGGAAAGCTTTCAGGCGATGCAGACATTGGAATAGATGCAGATATTGATGCAGACATTGATCTGGGAGGCAAACATAGGGGATCTGGCAAGAAAAAGGGGAAATTCCACATGCCCTCACTTAATATGCCCTCCATACACTTTCCAAAGGGTAAAGGCAAGGGGCATGGTGATGTTGACTTGGATGGAGGACTTCAAATTGAAGGGGACATGGAAGGTCCAAAAGTGTCTGGTCCTGACATAGATGTGGATGTCAGTGGGGGAGCAGGAGGAAAGGTGGAGCTGCCTGAAGGAGATGGCTCAATTTCTGTTGAAGGGCCAAAGATTGGAGGTGGTGTTGGTGTCGAGGTTGATGGTAAAGCATCTAAACCAGACATGGACCTGTCAGGTAAAGGTCCAGATGCATCTTTTGGAGGAAGTGTTGATGCCCCTGACGTGGATGTCAATTTGTCTGTTGGGGGCAAGAAAAAAAGTCCAAAAAAGAAAGCAGGTGGAGGATTTCACTTGCCCTCATTTGGCTTTGGCTTTAAAGGAAAGGGAGATGGAACCAGCAGCTCAAGCGATTCTGAATCAGATGATGGCAAGGCAGGCTTTGGCCTGAAAGGTGGTATCAAAGGCCCAAAAGTGAAAGGAGGTGTTGGTGCAAAACTGAAAGGACCAGATATATCAGGTGACATTGACGGCCCAGATGCTGATGTGAAGGTTGGTGCTGACATAGGTATTGGAGTCTCTGGTGGCATTGATCTCCCCAAAGGAGATGCAGATGTGGATATGAAGCTACCGAAGGGCTCAATTGGTATTGAAGGACCAGATCTTGGAGGAGTGACAAAGGCTTTAGATGTTGATGTTAAGGCTTCGAAACCTGAAGGTAATGTTTCAGTTGATCTGCCGAGTGGTAAAATGTTTGTCGATAGCCCTGATGCATCTGTTGATACTGAAATTGATGGTGCAATTGGATTTGACGGAAAGGGTAAAGGATCCGGAAAAAAGAAAAGGGGGTTTCACATGCCATCGTTTGGATTACCAAAGATGAAAGGAGGCAAAGGAGACTATGACCTTAGTCACAGCGGGGACATCGATGTTGGTGCAGAAGGAAAATTCAAGCCGACGGGTGGTAGTGCTGACTTGTCTCTCAATGGGGATTTTGAGCTAGCAAAACCAGAAGCTGGCATTTCGGTAGATCAACCAAGTGGACCAAAAGTCCAGACAGACTTTGATGCCACAGCTGACGCTAAACTGCACAGAGGAGATAAAAAGAGAGGTTCTGGGAAAAGGGGCAGCTTTGGCCTGCCATCTATACACTTTGGCAAGTCAAAGCATAAAGCTTCGGGAGATGTTGATGTAAACATTGATGTATCACCCCCAAAGGCATCTGGAAGTATAAACGTCAAGGGTAAAGGCAGCCCAAAGAAAAAGAAGGGCAAATTTGGATTAGGTTTAGGCGGTAAAAAGGAAGAAATGGATGTGAGTGCAGGTAGTGATATTGTTACTCCCAAAGTTGACATTGAAGCAAAGGCTGCAAAACCAAGTGGAGATATTAGTGGTGGTCACCTTGCAGGAGTTGGAGACTTCACAGTTGACCTGGATGTTGCAGCTCCCAAACTTGATGGGTCATTCTCTGGCGGTGGAGGCATTGGTGGAGATATTAATGGAGATGGAAAAATTGATGCAGATGTTACAGCACCACAACCAGATGCTTCCCTTTCTGTAGGTGGAGGAATAGACCTAAGTGCTGGAAGTGGTGAAATGGGAGAAGTTCCAGATGTTGGTTTGAATCTTGGCAAAAAGGGAAAACCTAAAAAGCCAAAAGGAAAAAAAAAGGGAGGCTTTGGTTTTGGATTTCGAGGTAAAAAGGATGGGAAATCAAGCAGCAGTTCCAGTTCTTCAGAATCAGACCATGAAGGGAAAGGGGGGTTCAAAGTCAAATTGCCCAGTTTTGGATTTTCAGGCAAGGCTAAAAGACCTGGATCTGCAGAGGGAGGAATTGACATCAGTGGTGATGTTGATGTGTCGGCACCTAAATCAGATGGTTCGCTGTCAGTAGGTGGAGGAGGAATTGGTGCTGGTGTTGGAGCCCTAGATAGAATTGGAGATGGAAAAGTTGATGTTGATGTCTCAGCACCTAAACCAGATGGCTCACTGTCAGCAGGTGGATTTGGTGGGGGATTCGGAGGCCTTGGTGGAATTGGAGATGGAAAAGTTGATGTTGATGTCTCAGCACCAAAACCAGATGGCTCACTGTCAGCAGGTGGAGGAATTGGTGGGGGATTTGGAGGCCTTGGTGGAATTGGAGATGGAAACGTTGATGTTGATGTCTCAGCACCTAAACCAGATGGCTCACTGTCAATAGGTGGAGGAATTGGTGGGGGATTTGGAGGCCTGGGTGGAATTGGAGATGGAAAAGTTGATGTTGATGTCTCAGCACCTAAACCAGATGGCTCACTGTCAATAGGTGGAGGAATTGGTGGGGGTTTTGGAGGCCTTGGTGGAATTGGAGATGGAAACGTTGATGTTGATGTCTCAGCTCCTAAACCAGATGGCTCACTGTCTGCAGGTGGAGGAATTGGTGGGGGATTTGGAGGTCTTGGTGGAATTGGAGATGGAAAAGTTGATGTTGATGTCTCAGCACCTAAACCAGATGGCTCACTCTCGATAGGTGGTGGAATTGGTGGGGGATTTGGAGGCCTGGGTGGAATTGGAGATGGAAAAGTTGATGTTGATGTCTCAGCACCTAAACCAGATGGCTCACTGTCAGCAGGTGGAGGAATTGGTGGGGCATTTGGAGGCCTTGGTGGAATTGGAGATGGAAAAGTTGATGTTGATGTCTCAGCACCTAAACCAGATGGCTCACTGTCAGCAGGTGGAGGCCTTGGTGGGGGATTTGGAGGCCTTGGTGGAATTGGAGATGGAAAAGTTGATGTTGATGTCTCAGCACCTAAACCAGATGGCTCACTGTCAATAGGTGGAGGCCTTGGTGGGGGATTTGGAGGCCTTGGTGGAATTGGAGATGGAAAAGTTGATGTTGATGTCTCAGCACCTAAACCAGATGGCTCACTGTCAGCAGGTGGTGGAATTGGTGGGGGATTTGGAGGCCTTGGTGGAATTGGAGATGGAAAAGTTGATGTTGATGTCTCAGCTCCTAAACCAGATGGCTCACTGTCAATAGGTGGAGGAATTGGTGGGGGATTTGGAGGTCTTGGTGGAATTGGAGATGGAAAAGTTGATGTTGATGTCTCAGCACCTAAACCAGATGGCTCATTGTCAGCAGGTGGAGGAATTGGTGGGGGATTTGGAGGCCTTGGTGGAATTGGAGATGGAAAAGTTGATGTTGATGTCTCAGCTCCTAAACCAGATGGCTCACTGTCAGCAGGTGGAGGAATTGGTGGGGGATTTGGAGGCCTTGGTGGAATTGGAGATGGAAAAGTTGATGTTGATGTCTCAGCACCTAAACCAGATGGCTCACTGTCAATAGGTGGAGGCCTTGGTGGGGGATTTGGAGGCCTTGGTGGAATTGGAGATGGAAAAGTTGATGTTGATGTCTCAGCACCTAAACCAGATGGCTCACTGTCAGCAGGTGGTGGAATTGGTGGGGGATTTGGAGGCCTTGGTGGAATTGGAGATGGAAAAGTTGATGTTGATGTCTCAGCTCCTAAACCAGATGGCTCACTGTCAATAGGTGGAGGAATTGGTGGGGGATTTGGAGGTCTTGGTGGAATTGGAGATGGAAAAGTTGATGTTGATGTCTCAGCTCCTAAACCAGATGGCTCACTGTCAGCAGGTGGAGGAATTGGTGGAGGATTTGGAGGCTTTGGTGGAATTGGAGATGGAAAAGTTGATGTTGATGTCTCAGCACCTAAACCAGATAGCTCACTGTCAATAGGTGGAGGAATTGGTGGGGCATTTGGAGGCCTTGGTGGAATTGGAGATGGAAAAGTTGATGTTGATGTCTCAGCACCTAAACCAGATGGCTCACTGTCAGCAGGTGGAGGAATTGGTGGGGGATTTGGAGGCCTTGGTGGGGGATTTGGAGGCCTTGGTGGAATTGGAGATGGAAAAGTTGATGTTGATGTCTCAGCACCTAAACCAGATGGCTCCCTGTCAGCAGGTGGAGGAATTGGTGGGGTATTGGGAGGCCTTGGTGGGGGATTTGGAGGCCTTGGTGGAATTGGAGATGGAAAAGTTGATGTTGATGTCTCAGCACCTAAACCAGATGGCTCACTGTCAGCAGGTGGAGGAATTGGTGGGGGATTTGGAGGCCTTGGTGATATTGGAGATGGAAAAGTTGATGTTGATGTCTCAGCACCTAAACCAGATGGCTCACTGTCAGCAGGTGGAGGAATTGGTGGGGGATTTGGAGGCCTTGGTGGAATTGGAGGCCTTGGTGGAATTGGAGATGGAAAAGTTGATGTTGATGTCTCAGCACCTAAACCAGATGGCTCACTGTCAGCAGGTGGAGGAATCGGTGGGGGATTTGGAGGCCTTGGTGGAATTGGAGATGGAAAAGTTGATGTTGATGTCTCAGCACCTAAACCAGATGGCTCACTGTCAGCAGGTGGTGGAATTGGTGGGGGATTTGGAGGCCTTGGTGGAATTGGAGATGGAAAAGTTGATGTTGATGTCTCAGCTCCTAAACCAGATGGCTCACTGTCAATAGGTGGAGGAATTGGTGGGGGATTTGGAGGTCTTGGTGGAATTGGAGATGGAAAAGTTGATGTTGATGTCTCAGCTCCTAAACCAGATGGCTCACTGTCAATAGGTGGAGGAATTGGTGGGGGATTTGGAGGCCTTGGTGGAATTGGAGATGGAAAAGTTGATGTTGATGTCTCAGCACCTAAACCAGATGGCTCACTGTCAGCAGGTGGAGGATTTGGTGGGGGATTTGGAGGCCTTGGTGGAATTGGAGATGGAAAAGTTGATGTTGATGTCTCAGCACCTAAACCAGATGGTTCACTGCCAGCAGGTGGAGGAATCGGTGGGGGATTTGGAGGCCTTGGTGGAATTGGAGATGGAAAAGTTGATGTTGATGTCTCAGCTCCTAAACCAGATGGCTCACTGTCAATAGGTGGAGGAATTGATGGGGGATTTGGAGGCCTTGGTGGAATTGGAGATGGAAAAGTTGATGTTGATGTCTCAGCACCTAAACCAGATGGCTCACTGTCAGCAGGTGGAGGATTTGGTGGAGGATTTGGAGGCCTTGGTGGAATTGGAGATGGAAAAGTTGATGTTGATGTCTCAGCACCTAAACCAGATGGTTCACTGTCAGCAGGTGGAGGAATTGGTGGGGGATTTGGAGGCCTTGGTGGAATTGGAGATGGAAAAGTTGATGTTGATGTCTCAGCACCTAAACCAGATGGCTCACTGTCAGCAGGTGGAGGAATCGGTGGGGGATTTGGAGGCCTTGGTGGAATTGGAGATGGAAAAGTTGATGTTGATGTCTCAGCACCTAAACCAGATGGTTCACTGTCAATAGGTGGAGGAATTGGTGGGGGATTGGGAGGCCTTGGTGGAATTGGAGATGGAAAAGTTGATGTTGATGTCTCGGCACCTAAACCAGATGGTTCACTGTCAATAGGTGGAGGAATTGGTGGGGGATTTGGAGGTCTTGGTGGAATTGGAGATACAAAAGTTGATGTTACAGCACCCAACCCAGAAGGTTCTCTCTCTGTTAGTGGTCCTGATGTAAGTGGAGATGGCATTAGTGGCAATTTTGGTGGAGGCATTGGTGATGGTGCAGGTGGTAGCTTTGGGGGTGGAGATATTGACATTGAAACTAAAGCACCAAAACCAGATGGCTCATTTTCTGTAGGTGGAGGTCTGGCCTTGGCTGGTGAGGGATTTGGTAAAGATTTTGGAGGTGACCTAGATATGGTTACACCTAAGGTTGATGACAGTGTAAAAGCAGTCAAACCAAAAGCCAACGCATCAGCTGGAGGTTTTGTTGGCAGAGGCCTTGGAGGTGGTATTGCTGGAGGCTTTGATGGCATCGGAGATGGAAAAATTGATGTGGATACTGCAATACCCAAACCAGATACCTCATTCTCTGCAGGTGGAGGGATTGATGTAGGCCTTGGCTTTAGTGGAGACCACAAGGGAGATATTGGTGGAATCGGAAATGGAAAATTTGATGTCAGTGGGGAGTTTGGCAGCGATGATATTAAGCCTGAAGTTGACATGAATGTCAAAGCAGCTAAACCAGAGGGTTCATTAAGTGGAGAGATCGGTGGCATTTTGACTGGTGGCCCTGATATTGGCAGTGGTCTCGGAGCAGATATTGATGTTGGTACAACAAAACCCGACATGTCAATGGGCGGCCTGGATGGAATTGGAATGGGAGGCACAGCTGGCGATATTAGTGGTGATGTTGGTGTTGGCTTATCTGGTGGAGCCAAATTGGGCCTACCTGAAGTAACAGGTTCTGCTAGTACTAAAACTGATGGTAAAAAGCGGAAGAAAAGAGGAAAAGGAAAGAAGAAAAAGGATCATGAGGGATCATCAGTCGATGGTGCTGTTTCAGTAGATGTACCAAGTGCAGACATCGGAGTAGTGGGCGGGGATGGTGGAGAAGTTGACGTTGACAAAGCTGCTTCTGGAGGACTTTCTGTTAAACTGCCAGAAATGTCGGGCTCATTAGCAGGCAAAGCTGACGTTGATGTTAAAACAGAATCAAAGGCTCGTCCAAAGAAGAAAAAGAAGGAAAAGAAAGGATTCTTTGGGTCAATAGGCCTGTCCAGAGATTCTACTTCTAGCTCCAGCTCTAGCTCCAGTTCATCTTCTGACTCTGATGAAGGTATTGGCTCCAGAATAATGTCAACATTTGGATTTGGCAAAAAAGACTCCAGTGACTCTGATAACCCCAATTCAAATAACAACAACAATACGCAGACTGATGGTACACAAACAATTGAAACAAGACACGACGACATGGAACTCAATGTGAACAATAATGCAAATGGAGATGATGCTGATGATTCAGCTGCATATGCCAAAGAACATTCCCACTCCAAAGGAAAGAAGTCTTTGGGGAAGTTTTTCAGCCGCAAAGGTCGACAAACCATTGTTCAAATACCAGACGAAGACACTGCTGATGAAGTAGGACTCCATGGAGTAGACAGTTTGCACTCCAGTAGATCTGATGGTGAGTAAAGTTTAACAATGGGACAAATTAGTAAAGACATTTGCAAAATGCTAAAACTGAATGTATGCCATTAACCTGGTGCATTTTAAGGAACTTTGCAGCTTTATTCTTAATAGCATGTAGATTTATTCAGCTGGAGCATACAGCATTTTCTTTACTGAGGGAACAAGTGTAACAAATAATTTGCATAATTATATAGCTTGCAATGTTTTTGTAGTTTGTGCTTTTTTTATTTTGCAATCAACTGCATAAAAGGTAGTTATTCTGACTTCAAAAGGTTGTCTTGGTGATCAAGATAGGAAGTCATTTGTTATCTCACATAAGTTTAATCATTCCGACAATTTAAAAACAAACTCCCAACTTTAACATTCACAATACCTTTTTCCTCTGATCTGTTTTTGCAAATTGTAATATTTAAATGAAGCTGATGAAAATAATACTATGTTAGGCAAAGTGCTAACATAATAGTTGGTCATCAGTGTTAGAAGTTTTCAAGATTGCTCTATCTCAAGATTTTAAGATTCCATGTGTAAAAAATATGAGACTGAGAACAAAAAGTGATTGCATGTTGACGTCAAATGAAATGGGATAGTGAGATTTACAGTTTTTCATTCAAATGATTCCTTCTATGATTTCTTGATTTTGTGCTACTAGGAACACAAGTAGCATAGATTCACACGATAACCCTATGCAGCTTTTAAAGGTTCGAAAGGTATGAACAGTAATTCCTCAATGGTGTTTTGCCCTGCATGCATTGCTGAGTTTGCTGATAAAACAACTATTTGTGCCTTCTCCAAATGGTGCACACTAATAACCAGCATTTAAATCAACTTGGACTTAAGGTCAGTCTATCATTTGATCACACAGTACTTATCAGTCATTTTGGAGAAGGGATAAAAAGTTGTTTTTTAAGAAAAACTCAACAATCCACTTTTGCTTTGATTTGCTGTTCTTGCACATTACATTTTGCTGTGAAAAAAAATCCCTTTCAGAAGCTGTGTGATTGCATGATTTCTGTTAAATGTTATCACTTGCATGATCTGCTGTTACTATGCAATTTAGATAAACCTGCTTGCTTTTATGTTTTTCTTGCATATTCTATCACTACTCACTGAAACAGTAAATGACGTTAACCGCATGCCGTCCAACAGGAGTGACAGTCTGCATGCACGTCACACACAACAGAAAACACTGTCAAAATCTGAGAGCCAGAGGGAGGGCAAGGTGGGAACATTAGGCAAGCTGTTCGGGAAGAAAAAGACAAAGAAAGGCACAGAAATGCTACAAGAAACCAAGGATATGTCTCCACCAATAAGAGTCGGTAGATATGAAAGTGTCTCGGCGGAAAGTACTGGCAGTGTAGATATGTCTGTTAGCAGTAGCAGTCCTGTAACATACTCCCCTGCAGAATTTCTGCCAAGGCCTAGGGCTTCCGTTGATAGTACATCTTCAACTTCTTCAAAGTCTACCAAAAAACGGGCAGCTCCACCCCCACCAATCTTAAAAGTTGCACCTCAAGAACATTTATTCAAAGGTAGTGTCCCTGGGTCTCCAGGATCGGAATATTCTTTGAAATCATTTTCATCTTCATCTTCAATAGGAACACCTCCAACCCACTGTAGAAAAGGTTTTGCTCCCACCCTACCAATTCAATCATTCGACAAAAGGTATAGTGCTGTTTCACTTCCAGATATGCACTCCCACAGACAAGAGTCTCATATCAGAGCTGCTTCATTGGAAGTACCTAAGGGTCCACTATTATCCCAGATGTCTAACCGTTCCACTTCTGGCCTTTTAGCTGAGCATGGAATCATGTATTCAAGTATTGAAGACCTAGGCACAATAGCAGAAGCTGTTAAGGTGTTGCCACTTCCACAAGGGGCTCCCCCTCCTAAACCAAAGCGTTCGGCATCGCCCAGTATTCTAGAAGAAGAGGTGGATGAAAAGGAGTCTCTTTTCTGGGTTGAAGAGATTGTAGATAAATATTGTGTAAATACTGTGCAGGAAACATCAATTTCAAACCAATCCCTGCCAGAGACTGCAACCTTATCCAACCAAAGGTCTGATTCAAAACAATCCAACAAAACCTGTGAAGAAAATCTTGGAAATTCTGAGAAGCAGTTTGAACTGTCATTGACGGAGGAAGAACAGATGACAAAGTTTAAGCAAATTTATCTGTTTGATTCAGACTTCATGTTTGCACCACACATGCAAACTGCAGAATCGCAGTATGACATTGAAGTGGCTTGCGATAACAAGTCTTCAGAAAACATCCAACTCCAAAGTCAACGTGCAACCAGTGTTCCTAGTTTAGCACCTAGTGATCCACAAGCAAGCATTTCTGCCTCAGACACCAAGCCTTTGCAGACGAAGCCTAACAAATCTGCTTGTGAAGAGGCACCAATTTTAGAGGATTCAGATAAAGCACAAAAATCTGACAGTGATTCCATGAGTGCTCCTGAAAACTCAGCAACTATAAAACCCCAAAACAGTTGTGTGGAAGAAAAGCAACTATTGTACACACAGCACACAAATACAGATTTCTCTTCGTGCAAAGAAGATGCAGCCATCCCTGATTTTTCAATAGTGAGACGAATGGCGAAAGAGGCTATTTCATCAAATCATGAAAGGTCATCTGAAATTAAGGCACTCCTTAAAAAATCCATGGCAAGAATGATGGGAGTTGATCTTCCTGTCAAGTCAATTTCTATAACACATTCAGAGAAAAAGACTGATGGAGATGAATGTAAAGAAGACTTTGACAGTTGCAGTGGATCAACTAGGAAGGAAATGGGACATACTATATCATTTGTAGATATGGACAAAGTAGCAGTTGAGAATTTGTCATCTGCAGAGGAGCATTCTCATGACTGCAAAAAAGTCTCTTCAGAAAATACCCAAACCCCAGTGGACCACAATTTGAAAAGAAGTCGGGAAAAACAAAAGATTGATACAGATTCTGATGGAATAAGGATGTCTTTGGTAGCAGGAGATACAGCAGTAGTTGCAGAACAGCATGAAACAATGCAGAAGGACCCCAATCAAAGGAAGGCTTCCTCAAGAATTTTGGTCAGTGAATATGTGCCAGTTGATTCTTTAGGAATTGGATTGACCACTCCTAAAATGAAAGGTATCCAAGAAACAGTTTTTGCTGAAAAATGTGTAGATCAAAATGCCAATACAGAAAAAGTGCCCAAAATAGAAACGGACAGTAAGCCTTTAACAAGGTCAAATTCCTTACATCATAATGGTAATAATTCAGTGTCTAAAACATTTCGTGCTTTGTCACGGTCCAAATCATTGGGTGCAGAAGAGTGGAACGAAGCAATACACAGAGATGAACCAGATGGGGAACACCAAGAAAAGCACTTTGAATTTGAAAGAGCAGAGCCTAAAGATGAACTTGAAAAACTAGCTTCCTTGAGTGTTGTGAAAGCAGTACGGAAAAGATTTGGTGGTGTAATGTCCAAGGAAAATAATCAGAACCCATCAGATAAGCCAAGAAAACAAGTTCCGGAAAATAAAACAGCACAAATCTCAGGTGGTTCAGATAAGGAAATCCTCGAGTTCCTCAAAGCCCAGACTAAATTAAGGAGAGTTAATCCTTCTGGCAAGATATCGGTCTCGGAGCAGACAATGAACAAAGTGCCAGTGGAAAGGTCCAAACAGGTGCAAGCTGAACCAAAGTTTGTTTGTTCAACTGATTCAGATGACAAAGAGAGCCCAGAGTTTGTAAAAGTACAAACTAAATTGAGGAAAGTTACTCCTCCTGATAAGATTGCAATCACAGAGCAGGACCAAATGATGAGTCAACCCCCAGTGGAAAGCACTGAATCCATACAAATCTCACCAAAGCCAACAAAGCCCAACCAATCAACAGTAAATCAAGCATCCCCAACTTTTGCAGGTGTTGGACGAGTAATGTATCAGAGTAAAGCATTGACATGGAGGAAGTCCACAGATAGGGCACCCCCAAAAAAGGAAGAGGTACCAGTCAAAAAGAATGCAGAAGATGATAGTTTCCCAATAATTGAAAGTGTAAGTTCCTGGAAGGAGAAGCGAGCGAGGAAAAAGAGTTCAGTTGTGGATGATTATGAAGTAACAGGGGAAAATTGTGAAAGAGAACAAGATAAGCCTGTGCAGGGGGAGTCAGTTGTCAAAGATACACAAGTTGTTCAGCATGTCAAGGTTGAAGATAAAGACATGCATGTCCTTGAGAAAACACAAATGATGCCACGGATGCTAGAATTACAAGATCCAAGTCGGAACTGCAAGCAGAAGGAACACAAAAAGGAAACAATGGATGTTGATTTAGTCATAAGGAAATCTACATTGGAACGGTCAGGTGAAAATCCTATTGAAGAATCACCATCAGCAATCATTTCAACTGAGCTTACAGCAGAGCAGAATAAATACAACAAAACTGAGGTACCAGACAGCGGTATGCAATCTATATTTGAAGAGGAACACAAAATTTGTTCACAGGGAACCAAAGAAAAAGAGACCTCTAAGCAAGAAACTGAAGTTGGAGATGAGGAAGCACACATGAGACGGCATAAAGAAGTCCGTGAAAGAACCAGAACTATTCTTGCTAAAATGAAGGCTGCGAAAGCATTCCAAGCATCATTCACAAGTGCTCAGACATTCAGTGATGATACGAGAGTACAGCGAAGAGGATTTGAAGAGTCATCTAAAATCCGAGAACACAGACGTCATTCAAAATCCACACCAAACATTGACAAGAGTTGGGAAATATTTGAATTGTTGCCTAATAAATCTGATATCCAGCATGCAGTCCAATCAGTTTCCCAGGGCAGCTTGAATGAAGGACTTGTAATGAAAAATGAAGATGAAAAAAACAAATTCAACTTGGATAAAACAGTGAAGCAATCTCCAGTTCAGCAAAGAGTTATTCGAAAGGTTAAACGGAAAACACATGTTCGAAGACCGGTCAGTGGGGATCTTGACAGGCATTCAGAAAGTTCATCGGAAGGCCTCTCTGAAGATGAAACTCTGAGAAGACAGAACATCAGTGGTCGTTTAGATTCTGGTTTTTCTGATATTGCATCCCACTCTGAGATTGACAGATGTATCCTTCCACAAAAAAGCCATCCCAGAAAAAATGGGGCAAAACTGAAGCAGTTAAGCCCACGAACCAGTCCAAAAATGCACCAAAAGATTGCGTCAGTTGCTGAATTGTCTCATAAACCAGTCACTGATGCTTCTCCCAGTACCAAAAATGTAACAACGCTAGATACTGCAGAGCTGCAAAGGATTATCATACAGCAACAGGAAGAAATGCGACTTCTTCGTCAACAGATGCAAGCGTCTCAGTTGCAGGCCGCTCAGATGCAGCCCGCTCAGATGCAGCAAGCTCAATTGCAGGCCTCTCAGATGCAGGCCTCTCAGTTGCAGGCCGCTCAGATGCAGGCCTCTCAGTTGCATGCATCTCAGTTACAGGCTACTCAGATACATGCCTCTCAGTTGCAGGCCTCTCAGTTGCAGGCCGCTCAGTTGCAGGCCTCTCAGTTACAGGCCACTCAGATACATGCCTCACAAATGCAGCCTTCCTCTCTTCCTAATACCAGCCAGTCCCAACCTGGAAATGTAGGGTCAATGAGCGCAGCAACAGCCCCTCATGTTCCCTCCATGCCCTTCATGTACTCTCAGCCTAATATGATGATGTCAGCTGTGCAGCAGCCAATGTACTATTTACCACATGGGATGCAACCCTCTGGGGCGGGGATGCAAGGTCCTGGTGTGCAGATGCCAGGGGTTCTTCCACTGGGCAACTTCTCATCCTTTGCGCCTTTTCCTGTACAGGGGATGTTACCGATGCAGACACAACTGCCACCTATGGGTATGCAAGTACAAGGTAGTGTGACACAGTACCCCACCACAAGCCACTTGCCGACAATGACCACAGCCGGGGGATCCTTTGGCAGTACCTTAGGTATGCCTGAGCAGAAACACAGCGAGTAGTGATGCCTTAGTACCACCAATGTCATCAGCAAAAAAGTGAGTGCGGTTGCCTGCAAATATACTTTGATCCCAATTTAACAAATACCCACATGTACTAAACTCTTTTGCGCATGATCCCATCCTTCAAAACGCACGTGCACTTCCCTACTTTATTTGTTTGGTTTTGTAGTTCAGTTTTGAAAAGGAACTTCTTCACTGCTATGTCAACTTGTTTGATTCGTAAAATTATGAAAAAGTAATTTTGCTTTGTACATTCGCCAGGTAGAAACTATGGCTGTTGTAGCAAACATTAGTGAGTTTAAATAGGTGTTAATAATGGTAATTAAAACTTATAACTTCTAGTTATCTATTACTTGTTCATGGTTTAATAATAAAAATGCATCTCCAGTTTCCATGTTCAGGTATCTATTACAGTAATCTTTGTAAAACAAGTAATATTCCCATAACCCACCAACACATCACTTAAAAAGCTAAAATTGCGCACCATATCAGGCTTGTGATGGCAGTTAATATTTTTTCTACAAGACATCCTTATGAAAACATTTTCTGAATGTCACGTTTTGTTATGTGTTCATATTTAATCAGATAATTTATGATTTCTAAATATTAGGTAATTGTAATGCTAGTTATTGTTAATGTAATTGTGACCTTTTTTTGTGCGTTACCTTCAATTCTTTGTCTTTGGAAAGGATCTTGATATTGTTGAAAAAAAATGTATTTTGAATTGAAGAATTTGTTAACATTTTAATAAGAAATTCACAATGTAAAAGCTGTAATTTACTCTTTGGGTTTTTTTCGGTGTGATAAACCCCAGGCAGAGATCACCACTATAGCTGCTTTATGAATCAAGGGACACTTGAGGCTTTTCGATTTGTGTGCTGAAATGCTTGCGATATCTATTGTTCATTCAACTTGCACAGCTGGATAAAGTACTTTGTCCAAGATATAAAGCCAAATTGAGAAATCAGAAATGGTGGAAAATAATGTGGGATATCAGCATATGGTAGTGTTTGAAAAAGTTATAGAAGGGAAACTTGCCTAAGTAATTCATGACCAGTTGTCTGTTTGGCTTCAGCTCAAGGTTCATTGTTGAATCACATGGTGTACCGTAAATCATTTTTAACAATCTAAAAGGCTGTTATTGAAAAAACTTCCATGGCAATGTGTGTTTCTTTTCTGATGACAATCTATCACTGTTGCACCTAATAGTTTGGTAACTTTCAACTAAGAGGTGAAGTTAAAACCTTTGTTGGCTAACTGAATGGATATATTTTGGTACAATTCTTGTGAGAAATTGCTATCAAGGCATGTTTCATTATTCATATAATTATGTATCTTGAAAAGAATTTCTTGTGTACATCATGCTAACCTATAACTTCATTACGCTGCAAAATGTTCAGCCTTTATGAATTAAAAAATGTTACATGTACCTCAATATAAAAAAATTCAACTAAAATGCTTGGTGTTGGTTTCCTATGAGAATTTTATACTTTATTGCAATTTTGACAACAAATTAACTTTAATTTTGAATTTGAACTCAAATGAAACTGCAACCAGGAACAGCTATTTCATTTTAAAGATTTGGAAGCTAACTATATTTTGATTTTCAGCTTAAAATGTATCACAAAATTGACTTGTTAACAAGAGAACGATTTGTAAGGAATTACATATAAGGACACTTTCAGGTGCAAAGCAGATAACCCATGCCTTGTAAATAATGAAATTTGTTCAAAACCAAATAATTGAACAAACTTGTATGTATGTAGTGTTTGTCAAGTTGGTGAAATGTACAGGTTCAAATTTTGAATGCGCTGGCTGACTCATTAGTACTAAACCCTTTGTATATTCATAATTTTTTTATACATTGCTACCTTTTACCAGTAGTGTCTATGTACGGTATAAATATCTATCCACTGTCTTGTAACCTTATTATACCTGCCACTTACAAAATTGCAATATTGTGTATCGTAAAATTCCTTCCATGTTTAACATTTATATAACTAAGTTGGTAGGATATCAGTAACCTGTCGTAGTCTTAAGGTGTAGATCTAGCTTTCAAAACTATATTTTCACATTAATATTGGAACGTAGAGTGAGCTGCGTAATGACTGTTACAGGTCATCTAACCACTTGTAAATGGCTCCCTGTGATGATCATGCATAGATGACAGTGTCCTAGAAAATATGTTGAAGTAATCACTTAAGAGTTTTTGTGTAATTGTATTTAGACATTTATCGTATTGAGTAGAGTTAACGTTTTGTTACATTTTCACTAAAAACACTAATAAGGTAATTTACAGGGCCTATATAGATTTATATGAAATGCACAAAAATCTGAAAAGATTAGCAAATAGGATTCCACCTTCTGTGCCTTAACAGCAAAAGTAAGGAATTTCGGAGAATGATTTTTTAATAATTATAAGCCGGTGGTTAGTATTGCAACACTGTAATTTATATCTTTAAAAATGATCGCTTGAAAATTGTAGATCTGCTAGTGATGGGAGTAACATCTTTTGAAAGGCCCCCACCCTAAGCAAAACCTGACATTAACAGTGTCTACAATTGCAGCTATGAAACCAATCTTTCTGACAATTGCACCTTTATTGTGTCAGTTTCAATACTAACCACTCAGTGAGCATTGCGTTCAAGCAGTACAAAATGCCTGATGCTTGTATATCTGTGCTTCCAGATTAAAAAGTAAAGCTTTTCACAGTGCCTTGTATATAAAACAAAAAACTGTTTATTTTTGGTGTAGACATTGGTTTAGTCATTATGTCTTGCACTGGATGAATGGATTTGATAATTATTTTTCTTTAAACGTTTGTGGGTTCTTTGCAAATAAAACATAACATGAAATGAAATACTGTTTCCCATTTTAGTATTCTGTCAACTGGACATGTTAAATTGTACATGTACATGTATTGATATTTGACAAGTCACCATAAATGTGTAATTTATGCAAATAACGAATAACTTTCAAAAGCTTCATTGACACACCGCACAAGTAGCATCACGTGGAACACGGCTACTATCAACCAATTTAAAGTTAAATAAACAGTTTCATATTTAATGAAAATTAAAAGGTAAAAATGCAATGCAAAATGAACAGTTTTACAGATGGGTACTGTAAATAAAATAAAATTTAAAAAAATTGGTTTATATAGAAACATTCTGATTTAAATTTTAAAAATCCAATATTTTGTTGATTAAAAAAAATAATAATAATTTTAACCAAGCTACAAATGTTATCACCAAGCTACGTACATAACATGCTTTATGACCATTATTATTTATATCATAAAATAGGGTAGTGAAATATCCATGGTAATCATGTGGTCATGCATCACTAAGGTCCATTGTCTTGACAATTGTATGATGTGAAAACATCATGTATGATGGTTGGGATGAAACATTATGAGCACATGCAGACTTTAGATTAGGCCAAAAAAAAAAGTCTCCGGTTTCTGGTATGGAGCTTGCCCAAAAAGTGGTGCGGCGACGCGACTTTTTTTTTTTTTTTTTACCTGATTTTTTTGCTTCAAATGTCGGCTGATGACTGCAAATGGTGCCCGACTAAACTTAGTGCAAATATATGGGAGTCCAGAGAGGCCACATAAAGCTTATTCTCGACCATAACCCAATCTAAAAATTGTGCAGCAGCAGGATTCCAGTCAAACCAGTGAGTTTGGCGGTTTTGAGACATCATTTTTCATTGAAAAAAATACTTTTTCATTTTGCCGACGCGCATGGCTACGGCGACGCGCGCGCATACCAGAAACCGGAGACTTTTTTTTTTGGCCTTAGGAAAGTTCAAGGGATATTTAAGTTGAACACGAGAACAAACATAAAGGATTTCTGTGAATAGATGATCTCAATCATTCAGAATTCAACACCTTATACACCCAACACCTTTCACATGTCTACTTGCCCTCTCAACATGGTTCACAGTGGCATATATCTCCCACCGCCTATCTCATCATTGCAGGTTTATTATGTAAATTGCCAACCTGGTGCTGCATGCAGGCCTGCAAATCCCCAAGGTTGGGAGGTGGACTGCTGAAAACTCTGTCCTTTATAAAATAGTTTGGAACGCAACTTGAGTTGCAACACAAGTCCATCAATTGAAAGAAGAAAAAAAACATTCAGATTAGTTGATTGTCCCTCTTAACATATACAGGGACACCCTGTATATGTTCTCAGTTATGGTGGTGTGTCTTGCATCCACATCGCTGTTTTAAGTTGCTGGGTTTTTTCAGTAAACCAAAGTACAGTTGATAAGAAATTGTAAAAAAGCTGCATATGTATTAAATATTCCAACAGTATTGGATGCACAATGCACTAAATCATTCTTCGGGATCATTTACCCCTAAAATATTTCAAAAGACCATTTTAGCTCCCTGAAGGCTTGGATCTTGATGCTGCCATTTCGGCGCAAAGCAGCTAAACTCACAGTGACCATCTGTGCCCTAACATGCACGCATTGATTGGTCAAGCAATATAAGTGACAGTGTCTTGTCCAAGGTCAGCTACACCACAAACCCCTTCAGAAATGGCTCGCACACACAATCCGTAGAATTACCCACAAATCTTGAGTTTGATGCTGCAGACCACAAGACAATCCACACATGATTACTAAAATCCTGAAAATGTACCAACTTTGAATTCAGATGGATTAAAATATGAATTGAACTCAAATATTCGAATAAACCATGAAATTTTTAGGCTTGAGAGTATACATGTACATGACGCCAATGGGCATGACTCTGTGTAAAGTCAACTCGGTAAAAATAGTAAAGTCTGTCCTGAGCCAATATGGCCCATGAGGCCGGCGTTTATCTCCGGTTTCAGTAGCATGAAAAGACTAAGACCATTTGTATTTCCCCTGGATGGGATGCCAGTCCAGCGAAGGGTACTCCCCAGCTGATGCCGGTACCCATTTATACTCCTGGGTGGTGGAGATAGGCAAATGGGAATGAAGTGGCTTGCCCAAGGACACAACATATGACCAGCAGCTGGATTCAACCCCCTGACCCTGAGTCACAAACCCTAACCCCTAAGCTACACTTCCCCTCAAAAAGTCAACTCGGTACACATTGCAATTTTAGTTTCCCTGTGGGTTGGGACTTTCGTTATGCACTGATATTTGAATTGTCAATGGCAATTCGCTCTTTTCACACTTCCGCCATGGGCATGCAGAGCCTCGATCTGGCAACTTTACACAATACATATAGCTGGTTCGGTGATTCCTGTGTCGGGGTTTAGATCACTGAACCGGCTTTTTTTTTATTGTGTAAAGTTGCCAGATCAAGGCTCTGCATGCCCAATGGCGGAGTGTAAAAAGAGCGAATATTGTATGGTACCACATCTGGTTCCTATGTACCAACATGCACATTGAAATCTCTAGCATATCATCAACAATTATGGTGTCAAAATACAATGTATGTTAGAAAGACATTTATTAGCTGTTTTGGAGTACATACTCCGAAACAGCTCTTGTTTTCGTTAATGTTTTTCCCCTGTTTCCCCCCCCCCTTATTTTCTTTTTCAGACTCCTTTCCTTCTACCCATACACTTTGGCACTTTCGTAAATCCGATCGACTTCAGACTTGGCACACACTTAAGCCACCATCTGAAGATGTATGCTGAAGATTTTGTCATATTATGTCACATTAAAGATGTTTTTTTTTCTCCATAGGTTTTTTTAGTGACATTTTTAGTGACATGAATTCATGATGAAACATTTTGTCATCACGTCACAGAGCCATTCCAAAAACAGACGAAACAGCTTGTGTTCACACACGAACACATTTCTAGTTTATTTGGGTTGTTTTGTTTTTAAATTAAATTTTGTGTCTCCAGTCAGGGTTAGGCGCTGGACAAATGCATTAATCACCTCACACAATATGGTTACACAGGTCGCATTGTGGTAACAAATAAAAGCACTTCAAGTAGTTTGGCATCATAATCCTAATACACACACTTGTACATCATCATGCAATGTTTGTAATTTCTACTCTCTACCAGCACAAATTGAATCATTTCAATCTTCTGCCACCCGAGTTATTGATTCCATCCCTTCTCTTTTGGAAAAGTTTTTTAATAGGCATCCCTTTTTATTTCTTTGGTATTCATTTCCGACCGACCCTATTAAAAACACCTTTTTTATTTCCACCTTCCTGTCTGGAACCCCATCAACACCAAAAAAAACCACCAAAACATAATGACAAACGGGGGCCGCCCGACAGTCCGAAGGTCCGATAGTCTGAAGGTCCGATAGTGCAAAGGTTCTTTAGTCCGAAGGTTCGATAGTTTGAATGCACAAAATTTCCATAAGAGGGGGTTGGTTAGTCCGAAAATGAAATAAGGTTTGTTAATCCGAACATTTGATGCAATAGTCTGAAGGTTCATTAATCCGAAGGTTCATTAGTCCGAAGGTTCATTAGTCCGAAGGTTCGGTAGTCCTAATTTAGAATAAGGCTAATCAGTCCGAAGGTTCAATAGTCCGAAACGAAAATAAGGTTCAATAGTCCGAAGGCTCGTTATTCTGAATTGACAATAAGGTTGATAGTCCGAATCGACAGTAAGGTCCGATAGTCCTAAGTGTCAGACTGACGAACCATATTGTCCATTCGGACTATCGAACCTTATTGTCAAATCGGACTATCGAACCCTACCGTACATTCCGACTATTGAACCTTATCATCTATTCGGACGCTAACAGAAACGCTCGCGAAAACCATCAACGCATCACATCGAGCTTTGCTACGCACTCAACATCAGATACCCCGAACGCATCACCAATGTTGAACTTTATCGCCAAACCAAAATTCCACAGGCATCAAAAACCCTTCGCAAACACCGCCTACAACTGATTGCACACGCAACCAGGCGTGACACACCCCTCTAATTGCTTTTGGACAAAAACAACCAACCTACAGAACCAAACCGAAGAGGTGGCGCACTTATGCGAACCTATCAACAGCAACTTCTGGACGACCTGAGGAGGGTTGGTACGGACCTGACTCAACTACACCAAGCTCAACAGCAGAAACGAACAATTAATATGTTATATTGCAGCCACTAAGCTATCCAACGTTATTGTCAATTCGGACTATCGCACCCTATCGTCTATTGGGACTATTGAGCCTTCGGACTATTGGGCTGTAACCATAACAAACTAGACATTCACGTTTGTTGAGTTACAAACGCAGGGTGATCGGGCAGACAACTATTTGTTGTGGATCCATTTGTTTTAATTTCAACCAAAAAATGCGTCCCTTGGGGCTTAAATAAATTCCTTATACATTTTATTTACATGTACACGTTACTCTCGGTTAGATGACGTCATCAGTTAAAAATTTGCAAATATGTTGATTTGCTTTAGATAAAGATAAATATCATGAAGTGACAAGAATGTCTGTAAAATCTTAAATTTACAATGAACGTACAAGTATGTGTACTGATACCACCCAACTTTCGGTTTAAAGATGTCACAGCATTAGGAAGCCCAATGTCAACATTGTACCTGATATCAGTACTATTGCCACAAACATCGCCACTGATTAAAAAAATGAAAACTGACGTTGCAAATTCTCCCTATTATAACATCCTGAAACGTTTTTTGTCTATTTTCAAAAACGTACGTACACGATAAATGGCAATTGACCAAATAGCCCCAAGTCCAATTATCCAAATTTTCAAGGGCTATGGTATGAAGAATTTTAAAAGCCAACTAGGGGCAAAATTGAGGCCAACTATGTATTCACATTGACGTAGCTTTTATTGACAGTGCCTAGACTTGAAAGCTGTTGTAGAATACTCACACAATGTACAACCATACAACTCACAGGTTAATAAACATTGAGATAAAGCAGTGGGTGGTATACGTAGTTTGAATTCTGTATATACATGTAAACCGGCAATGTTACTTGCATGTCTTGAGAAATCAGACAACCATAACCTTTATTATCACTTTCACATGGGAGCTAAGTAGCTAGGGACAATATCCCCACAATACTGCCTGCTTCCATTATAGGGTTTACCAGCTACTTAAACACTTGAATCTCACATATTTGATGGAAATATACCTTATTTTCATTGAACAATATCTTTGGGCTTAATATCAATATCAAATTTCCAACAATAGTTATCTTTTTGAGTGCAGTGTAATTCAGGGAATGTTGTATTCTGATGATTCTATTTTGTTGGTGGCAAGCTGAAATGCTGAAATTCCAATTATAAATTTGAAATAACGTATATTTCTTATACTGAAATTTTGCTTTAAAATCAGGCATAGACATTAAACAAGGGTTACAACCCATTTTGCCTTGAATTTCTTATTTAGATAAAGGGCAAATGCAAATATCTTATAGATATACTGTCTGTGCTATTTTCGAGTTTCACCTTTGTATTTTTAAATTGCCATTTTTTTTTGGCATTACAAAAGTTACTCACTTTTGAATGAGACACCCAATGAAAACATTGGCCCTCGTTTAGCAATGGAATAATTACTTTGCACATTTCAAATTATTTGCATCCTGACAATTGTTGACTGTTTCCTGCCTCCCTATCAACAATTTAGGGAGGGCAGACCTGCTTGTGCACAAAAGCAACCCACAATACAAGTCTATTTTCAGAGGGTTCCAGACGTCCAGATTGTTTTTTTTTTTTTAATTTAATTTTTTTTAGCAGCAAAAATAAACAGGAATCAAATCATTGAAGAGCACAAACAACACGTTTTATGGATGAATTTTGTTATAACAATCATGGCAATCAATGATAAATACTGAATAGCTTCATAGTTTGATTAATTTCATCCTTCAATCTCCTCATGCAGGGAATGCTGATACTGATATGACTTAAGCACTAAGACGAATAACTGTTATATTAATAATGAAGCCCAATGATGTTGTGGCATTAAATTAAAGTTCATGTACATATCTTTCCATTGAATTTCTATGATACAACTGTTAAGGTAGCTGCAAAAACCAATATAACAATACATTTGGCCTGGCATGAAACCCTAGCGGTGCAATTTGCAAGGCTTTTCTCCTATTTGATCTAATATACGAGCTTTGAAGAAATACATCAAGAGATATTGTTTCGCACAAAATATCAAGGTGATAAAGATAGGTAAAAGTCTTCATGTTTGACTGTGTTTTGAGGTCAATAAATTATTATCTTGCATATTTTAATATAGGTTTTCCCGGCCAATTTCCTAAAATTTTCATTAAGTTCTGGAAATCGGTCATTCATTTTCGTCTGAATTTGAGAATCGCTCTGTACACGTGTTTCATTTTTGCTTCCAGAGCATTCGATTTCATTTCAGTTCAATCAATTAAGTGATTGAGCAGCACCTTTCATTTATGTCCATTCACATTCCTTTATAACACTTCTTTTTCGCTTTTAGAGGGCGATTTCAAACATTCACCATTCTATTTCACTTTTAGTTTTAAATGCCATCGGCACCAGATACAATTAAGGGTTTCTTTTTCATTAACCGTCAATCAAATTAGCTGTACCTGAAATCAGTTTTAAAAAGGTATGCTTGCGTAAATGAATGCACAGATAACGTAATTGGTCGTCTGTTTCTCCAAACCGAATGCACGTACAATGAAAACGATTGGTTTTTCATTGTATTGAAATGAATTAAAGGCGTGCATTCAAATTCAGATGAAAACGAATGACCGATTTTTAGAAGTGAATGACCATTTCAGGAAATTGGCTGGGAAACCTATATTATGCAGGATTCTATACGATGTAATTAGACCCTGGGATGTACCAATTGTTTCATGGTATAATCTACATGTAATATTTGTCTACATTATGATCGAATCTCTCAATTGTTAAGCATGAGAAATAAAACCATTGAAGCAGGAATGCCAATGCTCACCCCCACCTGCAATAACCCACTAACTGGCTATCCTTCTGCATTACTGACTGGTCCCATTGATAGGAATATATTTTTAGATGATATGAACAGGTGTGCCTCTCCATTTTTTTGAGTGAGGAGTCCAACTTTTCCTGTCTATTAACAAACATTAAATATTGCACTAATTAGGCATTCATTTCCACACAACAAAAAATACCGTATGTTGTTCTCTTTATAAAAAAAAATGCAATTTAACATAAAATAAACCAAGCTATGCAAATACAAGAGACATACCATGCTTTTTTTTTTAACAAACAGAGTCAGTTATTTAAAATTCTATACATACATATAACATGATACATTTTTTTTAAAAAATAAACAGAGAATACTGCATGTTGTTATCTTTAAAAAAAATACAATTTAACATAAAATAAACCAACCTCTGCAAATACAAGAGACATACCGTGCTTTTTTTTTAACAAACAGAGTCAGTTATTTAAAATTCTATACATACATATAACATGATAAATTAAACTTTTATTTTAGAAGCATATTATGCTTAGTTACTTTTGGTCAAACAAAAATTTTGAAATGAAAAAATTCAACAGAAAAAGGTATTGAGCCTTTTTTACAGAAGGTCCGTCCTGAAGCATGGATATGATTAGAACAATGAAACAAATGCAATTTGGTCCATTCATGCCATCATTAAGAACATTAATGTATACTGTAAAAAAATTGTTGAGCAAAACATACATGCATTCCACTTTAAAGATTAAACAGAAAATGCATCATAAATGTCCTGCCAGACTTTCACACATCAGTATTTGCCCCCTCCCCCCCCCCCCCCTAAAACCTCAATGACTTGGAAAACAGGGTTTGAGGATATTTACTTGCTACTTTTTGTTGGAATGACTTGGAACAAAAACCAGGGTTTTTTTTAGGGGGGGGGGGGCTGGGCATTGTTCTTTGGATTTTTTGTGGGGAGGGGAAGGAGGCTGGGCCAACAAGATCAATTTGATTATTCAACTTATTGATCTCTGTGTCAGTTAGCTGGTAACATTTTTCTGCTTGATTAATCGAAAACCACTTTGAAATGTGTGCCAAAACTTTCTCACGCCACAAAAAAACCTTGTCTGATGGCCAATGATTGATTTTTACAACTTCTGTTGTTGGCAACACAATTGATAGGTGGCTGACAAGCAATTATAATGTGATGGCTGAGAAAATACTTCCATTTGAAGGAGCAATTGGACCATGTCTAAAGAAGAATGACTAGGTTCTTTATTATTTTCTTAGAGAACCTTAAGAATCCCTAAGTTTGCTTTTGACAAAAGAGCAGACACTGCTTACAGCTAGAAAAATGAAAATATCAATGCTGAGGATCAGCCACATCTGTACAAGTCTCTGACCCATGGTCAGTCATGCTTGACCAGGTTCACGAGGCAGTTAGAGGTAAGTGCAATTTCCTAATGAACATTGCTTCTGATGTGTCATTGAATAGCAAAAACTCATACATTGTACTGTGTTTTGATAAGCATACTATTGAAGCTTGCTCAGCCTGACTTGATCAGGTCAATCAGGTCCGCCTACTTTACCTATCCTGCTGGATCGTCAAATTGGCATAACAAAGGCCCTTTGTTATACGATGCCAATTGAGCAGTAATTAAGGAAAGCATATTATCTGCTGATAGTCGATATTGAAGCCTGCCCTTATGAAGTGTAGACCCTGATAGTCTCTGTGATCTCCTTCCGACAAATGGGACAGAAATCCCTGCGATTCATCAGTGATTTTGCACAATCGTGGCACGTAACCAGATGGTGGCAAGGGCAGAGAAGGCAGTCTCTGGGCCTGTCCATACAGATAGCACAGTCACGGTCAACAACAGTGGCTGAGAACGACCAAAAGGTTAATGAAAAACAAAATTAGTAAAGAACAATGAGTGGAACATTGAATAATGAGTGAAACGATGAAACAATGAGTAGCAAATTGCTTAACATTTAACTGAAGTAAAAAAACCTTTAACATTGGAAACTGATTTGCTTTCATGAACATCTAAAGTGTGAATAATGGCTTGTCTATTTGAATAAAAACTTTGTGAAGATTTGCCCTTTTAAGGAAAAAAAAGTATAAAATGATTATTCACATAAGGTTATTACTGTGTTTTAATGAGAAACAAATGAATATGAACTAAACACATGAATCATGAAAAACCTCTAGACAAAACCCTTTGCATACTGTGAATGTATGAATAAGGAAAGTATTGATTTTTTTCCAGTTTAGGAGCAGACTTTCTTCTGTGAGGTCATCGCAAATTTTCAAGGATGTGGTTAAAGTGATGAGTCCCTTTTGCTACAAAAAATGTGAAGCACTTTTCATTAACAGAAAAAGAATGGAATCTGTTCATTACATTCAGGGCTTTTATTAAGGGAATAAATATGTGCTTGGCTGGTTTTAAACAAGTTCGTTTAAAACCTGCTTGGGGCCGGCGAGGGTCACTATCTGCAACCAGGCCCCTAGCTGGTTTTAAACATACATGTACTTGTTTAATACCAGCCAAGCACATATTTATTCCCATTCATAAATACCTTTTGGTCAAAAAGTCAAAAGTCATTTTGTTCAACAATTACGCCTCATGTTTTGTGAAACACTCGTCTGGTCGTGTCCATGGTATGTGCCTCACGCACCTAGTGCTAAAAATCTCCTTTTATGGAGATTGGCGCGCCCGTGGCGCATATTGGCATGTGCAATGTGGTGCACAATGCAGCAGTGCAGGAGTTTTTGTTGTGTTTACTAAACAAGCTGTTTTATCAGCATTATAAAACCACTCATGTGACAGGCTCTTGACCAATAGGAATGGGTAATCTTTCTCAGGTATTTATGAATGTGGGTGCAACTTCTATGAGATTAAAGGGCATACGATCAACCATGATATCCATGTATTACTAAAAATAAAATGAGCAAAAATGGAGTAGAAGTATGGTGCTTGAGTGGTTCAAAAATTATTGAAATGACAGAAAGCAGTACATTGTATGGCAAAATAGTGTGTCTTCTCTACAACTGATTTCATGTGGTGTTCCTCAAGGGTCTATATTAGGGCCAATTCTCTTCCTCTTGTAAACGATTTACCTAAATCCTCAGATCTTCAGTTAAACTTATTTCATTTGCAGATGATATAAATATATTCATAGTAATAGAGATCAGAAGGAGCAGTAAGTGTCATAAATAGGGAACTGCAATGTGTTTGTAAATAGATAAATTGCAATAGATTGTCAGTTAATTTTAAAAGACATGCTGTATGGTATTTTCAAACAAGGATCTAAATAGAAATCATAACATTGTTTTTAATAATACCTTAATAAGCCAGCACCCGATTTCACGAAGCGCTGCGACGCGTCGCAACTCGAGTTACGACGTGTAACACGGCGCAACTCGCGACGCGTCGTATCTTCCTTTTCACGAAAGTTGCGATGTGTTGAACGCGTCATAAGTTCCTTGACAACGGCTTAAAACACGTCGCAAGTTAAGACGTGTCTAGCGGTCGTCGCAAAATAAGAAGAGTCATTTCTAAGCCAGTTTTATGCCATAAACATTACATTAACGAGATTATTATACCGACGCAATGTGTGTAAAGTTGTAAATAGAAAATTCATTGAATAATTATGAATTAGACCGGAATATTAGAATTGAAATTTCAAAGTAGCTATACAGTCCAATGAGAGTTTGTTTTCCTTCAAAATTGCATTGCACGGCCGCCATTTTGTTTTACGTTTTAACAAATTTCGAGCTGAGATCCGACGACTCTTTGTTGAATATCAGACGACTATTTACTGTACGCTGACTAAATACATAAAACAGTCACCGAGTTGTGCTACGACGCATCGTAGGGATACGACGCGTCGCATCGCTGCGATGCATCGTAAGTTACGAAGAGTTTGATGAAATCGGGTGCTGGTTTGTCAAAACACCTTTCTAGGGGTAATCATATAACAAACTTACTTGGAAATGTTACTGTCAAAAGGTTCATATGTCAATTCCTTGTACCCTTGGTATACTCTGGAAGGTTAAGGATATATTACAAACAGAAGCGCTACTTTCTACAACTGCAACATGGAACACTAGCATGGGGTAATGGCAACTTATCTAATTAAAACAAACTGTTTGTTATACAAAAGAAATCACTCAGGGTAATAAACCATTCAAATTCAAGAGCACACGCTGAACCCCTTGGTCACCAGTTTAATATACACCCTATCCCTGAGTTATATAAATACCACCTTGGAGTCAATATGTTTAAATATGATAGGAATTTATTTCCTGCTTCACTTTCTGGTATTTTCACAAAGAATGAAAACACCAATCAGTGTAATACAAGGAATTCAAGGAACTTGCATTTGTATGGGGTAAGGACATCTAAATATTTATCTACGGTTAAACATGAAGGACCCATTTATTTGTCTAAATAAACTGTTCCAAATGTTCAGCTTATTAATTCAACTGAACAAACTACTTAGTAATAGTAATTAAATAATATTAATGCATGGTAATATTATTACTGTGTTGCTGTCATAATTCATAATTAGTTAAGAAGTTTTATATCTATTTATTTAACTTGAAGTGTGTTTTCTTTTTCGTTAAATTTAAATGTAATTGTTTAATCACGGGTGCCTGGCCAAGTGCAAGCTTGGGCTTTCTGCCAGCCTCCACCATTCATCACCTGAGATTGCTGAATATTGCGTTCACTTTAATTGTTCATTATTGTAAGAATGATGTTTGGAAATAAAGCAAATCAAAGTAAGTTTACAGGGCTTTTGCCTAAAGAAGAAGATTTTTCAGTGACCATTCTCAATTGTTGTTAGTAAATGGTAAATGGTGAACAAGCTGATAAAAAAGACAAACATTATTAGTATGCGTGTGTCTCGATTTAATCTACAATTTAATAATACAATTGGTGTTTAGTAAGCCATTGTATGGCTGTATTGTCTAGTTCCTTTAACCCTAAAAGGGCTGGGTTATTTTGACCATCTCTCAGCCCTAAGATCTCGGCCATCGAGTGACGAAAAATTTGAAACTCGGTACATGCATAGAACAACTTATCATGAACATATCCAAGAAATTTCATGACTATAGGTCAAAGGATTTTGGAATTATGGCTAATTAATTATTCATAGGCACGAATGGTAATTCTGCTCTGTGTACACAACGTATGGGAAAATTTAGTTTGCACGGCGCGTAGCAACCTTAGGTCCGATTTTTATGTTTTTGGTATCAAAAGATGCGCAAGGCTAGAGGCTAAAAAGTCAGAACAGCCCGGGTCGTGAACAAAAAGATTGTCAAGGCTATTGCAGAAAAAGTTGAGGGGGGGTGGATTCCCCCCCCCCTCCCCCCTCCCCCCCCCCCCCCCCCCCCCCGGCCCCTTTAGGGTTAGGCCCCCCCAAAAAAGTCTCCGGTTTCTGGTATGGAGCTTGCCCAAAAAGTGGTGCGGCGAAGCGGCTTTTTTTTTTTTTTACCTGTTTTTTTTGCTTCAAATGTCGGCTGACGACTGCAAATGGTGCCTGACTAAACCTAGTGCAAATATATGGGAGTCCGGAGAGGCCACATAAAGCTTATACTTGATCATAACCCCATCTAAAAACATGTTAAAATTGTGCAGCAGCCAGTGAGTTTGGCGGTTTTGAGACATCATCTTTTATTGAAAAAAAACCTTTTTCATTTTGCCGACGTGCATGGCTACGGCGACGCGCGCGCATACCAGAAACCAGAGATTTTTTTTTTTTGGCCTTAAGGACTCCTTGCTTGGGCTGTTGTGAAGCAGGCAGTCGCTGGTGATGTGAGCGGCTGTTTGGAGGGCAGCCCCACACTCACAGGCTGAACTAGCAATCAGGCCCATCCGGAGCATGTTTGTCCGGCATCGACCATGACCAGTTCGGCATCTGTTCAGTCTGCACCAAGCTGCTCTGGGTAGGTGACATCCAAGCGGCCTGTTGTTGGGTTTGTCAATGTAGCCATGGAGCCTTGATGTGGACATGGACCATTGTTCCTCCCATTGACGCATCGCCCAGGTTTCCGGGGTGTGACTGTCAGCAGTTATTAGGAGGCTTTGCAGGTGATTTGCAAGCGGTTTCCTAAACTTCAGTCTTGGATTCTGGATTTGGTCGGTGGTTAGATGGCAGAGTAAGTGGTTCTCATTTCTGAGCGCTCTTATAGTGCAAGTTGATGGCATCGTTGTTCTCGTCTGATGGCTGGCGGGCTTTTGCCACTAGTGATTGGCAGATTGTCGACAGGTGTAGATCGAATGCACCCAGACACAAGGCGCATTGTGTTGTTCAGGGCCTTGTCCACTAGTTGGCAATGGCTACTCCTGCACCACACTGGTGCGCAATATTCAGCAGTAGAGTAGGAGAGTGCGAGGGAGGAGGTGCGGAGAACAGAGAAGCTAGCGCCCCAGTTGGTTCCAGCAAGATGACAGAGCAGGTTGTTCCTTGCTTGCACCTTGGGGTATGAGGAGAGTCACTTCCTTGCAGTATACCCTGGGCATCCTCAGACGGCAAAGAACTCCCAACTAGTCTCCTACCTATCTACAATTACATTATTAGTAATCCATCGTCAAATGTGCTTTGTGTAAAAGTGTGACAAATCACTACCGGTCTAATACGTTTATTGAAAGCACTAGACTGGATCTGACATGACTGACCCTGACCCAGCAGTCCAGTCAGTATTTTCAGCCATCAACAGTGAAATTCATTCACGAACATGCAACCTGCCTGTCAGAGTAAAACAAAACTGAAGCTGTCAATGAATTCAAACACTCTAACATCATGTTTTTAGGATAAATTCATTCTGACCCATGAAGAAAGCAGTCAATTTGTGGCAATCAATGTCATATAAAGTACTTACTTCTTTGGCTTTGTGTTGAAGGAGCACATTTTGAACATTACAGCATAGAGAATACCAAGTTGTAATAAATACCTTGGACTGTTTACCCATCCTATTGATCAACAGCTCATCATGTGGGTGGTTTGAAATACCACTTTGAAATGTTTAATACCGGCCAATAATAAACAAGATCAGTGAAGCATGACACTTTCTGCTTGTCTTTTAATTTTACTTTTTTACATATAATTTTTAAGGAAAAATGTTTCTCCAAGAGTGGTAGGTTTTGAAGTTTGGGGAAATTTGATGTGTGATACAGCGATTATTATAGATTCTTTTTATTTCAAACCATTTTTAGTTTAGAAACAAAGTTATATCTCGAAGACAGATGCTAGAGAGGTTGAAGTAAAAAACATAATGCATATATAGGTACAGGGTGAACAACTGTCAACACAGCATACATATAGCTGGCCTCATACTGCCACGCACGTACCATCTACTGTGCAAAACCACCATATATTTACGCGTTAAGCGGCCATAACATGACGGTACCAGTAATGCAAAGTGCATGAGCATAAATAGCTTTGTACCTTAAGTCACCGCAAACACATTTTCACACAGTTTTGGGACTCAAGTCTTATTAGCTTTCCACTCGAGTCGAGTCTTCTGATAAGGGACTTGAGTCGAGTCAGGTCATTTGCTCGCAGTGACTCGAGTTGAGTCGAGTCAGTTACTCGAGTCAATTGTGACTCGAGTCCGACTTAAGTTGAGTCATTGACTTTAGTCACTACAACTCTGGGTTTTGGCAAGTGTGAGGTGGCACGCCAAATCTATGACGGACCTGAAACTGTGCACTCACTTGTGCATTTTGGCTTACTTATGCATGCTTGCAAGATACAGATTTGGGCCAGCATTTTTAATAACTCCATCTTGTGAATTCTTGCATTTATGGATCAACTGTCTAAAAAGCAGTGCCCATATAAGTGATGACACCGCATATTGACTTGCAGCAAGGACAATTCACACATAAGCCTGTAAAACATGGTTGGGAAAGAGTTCCATACCTGGACATCACTTGACACCCTGTGCACAAACCCTATGAGACTTGTCTGAAAAATTCTAAGTGTTTTCTCAGTAAAAGCTTCAATATTTTTCTTGCTAAATTTGACTTTTTAGGACATGTTATTGCTTTCTGATTGCTGACAGTCACTGCTGGAAAAAAATAATGATGTCCATGTATGGAATTCTTCCCCAATGGGTAACTTCTTTATCCAAAAATGTAGCAAACGTAGAACACCAACTCAAAGTAATGTAACATAAACAAATCAAGAAATAACACATTCAGGACAAAGATACCAACATGATTTTTAAATAATTTGTCGGGAAAAGCAGATGTACCTTTCCAAGCCAAGAATAAGATCTATGCTAAAACTTCCAAGATGTATGACTCACCACATTCATCATCTTGAGGTGGTGTTAAGTTGCCACCGTGTCCAAGATGAGGCATTCCCCGATCTGGTATTCCCAGCATACCATGCTGTCGTAGTAACTGCTGCCTGCGTGCTAGGATTAAAAAAATCAAATAACTAACAAACAAAAACTAAAGCCAGGAAAGTATTGTTTCTTTTATTTGTTTGATTGTTTGTTTGTATTCATAAGATTATTTGTTTGCGTCGGGGTGATGTAAATCAAATTAGGTTTTGCCCTTCATCGACGTATTAACACTGTATACTCAGTGTATTACCTTCTGGGACTCGAATCCACGACCTCCAGGGGCCATATTCATGAAACCTTACTAACTTAGCAACCAACTAGGCCTTAGTAGGATACTAAAATGCCTAGTAGTCTACTATGGAGTTGACACCTAAATTGTTATTCATGAAACCTTACTAAGAACCTTGCTAACTAGTTACATACTAGGAGAATTTAGTTGCATATGTGAGTAACTAGAATCGGGTGCTTTTTGGTGGAGTGGGCATGTATGGAATGTGATGACAACAGATACAATAGTGCGACAGGTGTATTAGGCTAATCCATGTCCAGCACTTGCGTGGATTAGCAAAAAGAAAGGAAAAAGGGCCCATATTTATTGTAGTGTACTGCATTTAATTTAATCAATATCAAATTCTCTAGCAATTGCATAAAAAGCTAAGTTATCAGACATGGCTACAAAAAGGGCAAGGAAGGCAAATGATTCTAAAGAAGAGAACTATATATGGCAGACAAGTATCAGGAATTAAAAGATATTATTGATGCTAAGCATAAGGATGCAAACACTAACAAGAAAAAGAAGGATCATTGTATGATTTAAAAATTGAATTATCCAAATTAAAATCTGAGTCAAGAGAGTGCCTGTCGAGTACCGGTATGTGAAAGTCCAAGAAGGCAACTGGAGGGGGAAATAGTGCTGCAACTGATCCTCAAAGTTCGGTTCGGTTCGGTTCGGTTTTTTTTCTCCGAACTTCGGGGTTCGGTTGGGGTTCGGTTCGGCTTCGGAAGTGCATACGTAATATACATGTCTATACAATGTATTAGGTTACAATGAAAAGCATACATAGGCCGTTTCCCTGTTCGAACAAACACGTGTGTACCGCGCACGTCTGACAGAAATAGGCACTGCAAATTCCACATGCTATTCAACACAAGGTGAAGGATGAATCTTGTTTTTGTTATGTAAGCAAAAGTCTGTTATAATTTGACTTGATGACGTTGAGAAATGAACATCATAAATTGCTACCGTGTTACCTATCGCAGCCCTAGCGGGCCCAGCAACTATGATAAAATTGGCGATCGACGTAGGGCCCGACTTCTGACTTAAGAAAACAAATTCCACTTTAAAATTATTAGACAGACCTAACTAGTTGGTTCTCAATAAACAGGTATGTCATAGATAGAGGGTAGGGTTTTGATTTTTTTTAGGGAAATTTGGGGGTAAAATGACGATGACAGCGCGGCAACACAACATGCAACCCGAAAATAAAGATGGTGATAACCGCGTGATGTACCATGAGTACACACGGCGCGCTGAATCGCAAGGTACAAACAGCGCAGGAAAATCGTGATTTCTACCTCAAGAAACTGTTAAAAATTGCAAAACGGGTGTCATTAGAATTGAGAAGTCAGCTTTTGATTATAAAGGTGATTTTTTTTTAGCAATAAAAAACATTTTTGACTCTAATTTGATCAAAACAAAACAGGGGCCCTACGCTACACGATCGCCATAAAATTTTCCCACACGTGCTGATTGGTTTTCTCGACGAGTTCCGTCCCGTTCAAGCATGCCCTGATGAGCACTAAAAACTTGTCTCGTGGCAATAATTGCTGAATAGGTTTGTTCTAAGAACAAACAGGTCCTTTTCTGTGCCAAACTTATGAAATCATAATTATTTTTTAGCAACAAGCTGACAAGTAGCTACCGTATAAAATAATAACTTTTCGATTCGCGACTGCCATGAATATTCATATTGTGGACGGATCCATTAATTTCGTAAAGTGGTGTGTCACCCTCTTTTGGGAGATTACATCGTTTTTCGTATTCATTCTTAACGAAAAGAAGAGAAAGGTTTCAGACTCCATAAAAAGATTTTTTTTTAATTCTGATACGGTGAAAAAAAACGAAAATGCTGGTGAATTTGGCCGAGGAAAGCACACCCTTCACCACAATTGGTTTGGTCCAACCGTACTACGTCACGCTGGAACATGGAGCAGCAGCGCAGGGCGTGAGATACTGACCACGCTGGATGAATGCAATGCACGCGTTTCATTGAGAAAATCGCAAGGCGCTAGCAATGTTTCATGAATACCAACTAGCTACTAACCAGGCTTAGTAAACAACTACATGCCTTTTTAGTAACCAACTAGGCTTAGTAAGGTTTCATGAATATGGCCCCTGCTTTCTAGTGCGGATGTCTTACCACTCGACCACCGAGCTAATGGGATCGGCTGGCTGTTTGTTTGGAAAGTCTTATGAGAATTAAAACCCTTGATGCAACTGAAAAATATGAATTTGACCGACTGCATATGACTTTACTTATAATATGCTTATAATCTCCAATTTTACTGTCAATGTGGTAACTACTATACAAGACATTAGAAAGTATTAGGATATGAGAGTTACCTAATTTTCTGGAGTTTATTTGCTCGGGTGTCAGGATAAGTGCCTCTCTGCCTGACCTGAAAAACAGTGTTTTTCCAATGCCTTCTAGAAACTGCCTCACTAGATGGAAGAAGTCAACAAGAATGTCAAGAACACTTGAATAGATAAGCTTAAAGAAATCATTATGCAGAATGCATTCATGAAATCTTCACAACAGCCTTAATTGTACATTTCCTTTTCAAAGTCCACTTACACCCCAAAAGTTTCTATACTTGTGAAAGCATGGCCAAAAATGTAAACATTTAATGATCCAATTTGGACAAACCTTAATATAACCTGTTTGCACTCCTTGCTGGAACAGTGCGTGACACTGTGAACTACTCATGAGAGCCAGTGAAGAACACAGTGAGTGTGTGTGCGCACTGGATTGGGTGGGTGGGCCGTCACCGCTCTATGGGAAAGTTTTTTATTGTTAGGCAAATTAGGACCGAGTTATGGGGACTTTCTGCTGTCCCCACAGCGTCTTTAGTCCCCATAGTGCCATGGGACAACTCGTGTGTGGTCCCCACAACTATGGAACAAGTATGGGTATGCCTGTGGTGCAGAGTGCACATCATCATTTTGGATCTGAATATACATGTACACCATCTTACAGCATCTTCACATGACACAAACACACCTGAGCATGGGGCATACAGCAGCTCAACTGTCCTCAACAATGTTTAATCATTCTCATTATTAAGTCACTACTTCTTCTTAGAATTATAATCTTAATTTGTATAGCTGTGTTTTATAGTTGAAAATCAGGCTTTTTTAGTTTTTGCAACATCAGCCTGATTTTCTCATATCCAGTGCCATTTGCACACATGCGTACCTTTTTCAACACACTTCTGATCAGTGAAAGCAGTTGGGTTTATCTCCACTTCTGGCACAGCGTAAACGGGGTGTAAAAAGCGCAATCCCATTACCCTCTATGAGAACATACAAAAGAAAAGTGGTTTCTCACTTACTGTTTCTGTGCATTTTTGTCCATCATTCACTGAGCATAGACAGTGAATCCAAAACGGGGTTGATACAAAAAAGTGGTAGATGTTTGGTAAAAATAAAACTTTGAGGACATTGAATGGTAGTAAGGTGTCAGCACGCCAAGAACAAAAACAAGCACTACTGCCTAAAAGTCTGACTCTCCCACAGAAGGATTCTATGAGCAAGAAACTATAATTTTAAGAAGAAAAGTAAGAGATGGCAAATGTCCGAAATGAACATTATTTCCACCTTCAAGAAGGCCAAAAACTAGCACAAAATTGCAAAATTTGTTTATTTTACTAAAAAAATATCTGTCCCAATTTTCATCATGTGATGAAGATAACTCATCATGATCAAGTACCTCAGGGTAGGCAGCCTTGACTGCTATTTCTCGTATATCAAGATTGAGAGTATTAGTGCTGATGACTGCATCCTGACTACACAGATGAGATACCTCTGCAAACAGGAAAAAAAATCAGCAAAAATGAAACAGTAAGGCCAAGAAAAATAAAAACATCTGTTTTCGATTATACAATGTATGCCATTTCAAAAATACATATATTCAGCCCAAAATGTTTACTTTTGCTATGAAAAACTGTCCCCAAAACTCAGTAAGGCTGACGATACTTACTGAACATGCAGATTTTAAGTTATGCACAGGACTAATTGCATAACATTAAGCATGAAGGAATAACAACCAACACGGTCTGTATTGTATGGCAGCCATCAAGTTTGGAAAAGATACTACGCTGTGTTGCTACAAGTACAAAGTTAAGAATTTTGAAATAAATACATTGAAATAATTTTGAAAAGTATTGTATTGTATTGTACTTTGACAAGTACAAAGTTAAGAATTTTGAAATAAATACATTGAAATAATTTTGAAAACAGGAAATACATACATGGAAAAGAAAGAAATCAACTTTTGTGAAATAATGCGCAGAAATACTCTTTCCAAAGATATTTTCATGGCATTTTTACAATGATGATATACAACCATAAATGCAATGTAGGCAATGTAGGCCGTGTAGCTCCAGTGTTGTAGACTGTTCACGGTCCTTCAATCAATATTCTGGCTAATTATCTATTAGCAGCGAGAACCACTCAACTATTACAAATGCCGCATGTGCTTTCACCAACCCAAAGGAAAACGTGCCCATTGCATCAGGAAATAAAGTGCGTTTCTTACCAAATTCATTGATTGTAAATCAACAGAGTTTTAACAAAATGACCAGCAAAAATGTTCTAAAGTGGTTTTTTTTTTACATAAACAGGTTGTTGAGGGGCGTATTGGGTAAGACAGAATTGATGGAATGATAGCATTTTCATGTCCTTTTTATTTTAAATAAGTGCCTTTTAAAATTTTAGTGTTGGGCCATGAAAATAATGTCAGTTGGATAACTGGAAGTATTGTATTTGTTTGTTTCTTTGTTTGTTTGTTTGTTGGGGTTGTTGGGGTGTTTGTTTGTTTGTTTTCGTTGCCTAATTGCTTATATTTCACGTCAGGATTGGACACCATTCCCAAATAAAACACATTTACACGCAGAATAATACTCACAGTATTTTTTAAACTGAAAGAAACATAGTCTTCACAACAGATACATATGTTACACAGCAAAGTTGAGCCAATGGTTGACTTTTGTAAGAAGTTTGAATGGGGCACTTGCCATACCTCTAATTAGGTTTTGCTTGATTTCTAGATCTTCAATGACTGCTTCAAAGATGTATTCTGCATCCCTGACTGCTTCCTCAAGCCTGCTGATACACAAAACCTGGCCCTGTAACATCAAAACAGTCAACTTAATTGACTGGATGGCTCAACTCCCAGAAACCAAATAAACACTGTGTGGTTAGGGGTTGACTATTAATAGGTTTTTTTTTTATTCATCATGAACTTATGAAGAGCCTACCAAAACACATCTAAAAGCTGAACACAGTGCATCTTGTCCAAAGCGACAAGATTTACAAAATTATACCAAATTATACAACGATATTTTAATGAAATACCTTACTCGACTGTTAGTGAGTAATAGTCTCAACCAACCTGTGAAACCATGGCACCTTGTGTGCTGTCATTGTCAAGAAAATTGGAATTTTTGTATTGATTTCCAACAATGGTCGGCCTACAACACAAATGTACCATCTTGGGCCGACCATCTTGGGCCAACCATCATTGGAAAAAAATAACTTTTTCAAATAGTGCCCCCAGTTTACCAAATATAATTAGTTTACATTTTGTTTGCAATCATTTACGCATCCGCGAGTGCAACGAGTGCAAACCAGCTAGTCTGGTTCCTTGACCTGACAACTCCCTGACGCCAATAAATTGCCCCGTTTTGTCTGAAGTAGGGTCAGGGAACCAGACTACAAGAACATAATATTGTTTTTGTTTTTTTTCCCCAGCATCTATGAACACAAAACTTTAAACAGGTCAGCGCATACAATATTTGCCATACCTCCAAATCCATCAATTTCTTAAAATTACAGAAAAAATAAATGTTGTATAGGCTATCCCCTTTAAAGCTATAGTCCATCATTTGCAGCTATCCGAAAAGTAACTGGCGTAATTATTGTTGAAAAACATACTTGTTTGAAAGATAGTAAGGGGACTAAACTCCCTGTGAAAATATTCTTTCTGGCAAGCTGTCGTTTTGAAGTAATCAACGAAAGAAGGCCTTTCCAACGGTGCGTCTTAAGACGCACCGTTGGAAATTTCCGTTAGTAGTTCGGTTTTTATTCGGCGAAGCGCGCGCAAGCGTTGACACGACGCACATGCGCGCGCGGTTGCTATAATTCGTCGAATCAGTGCGCGACATCGCATAGCTGCAATCGGCTCAGTGAGAACGTGTCGCTGAATTCAGGCCCAATTCAAAACATGATTCAGCAACTTTTGATTTGAAATCGAGATCCTAGAATGCTGTTTTCTCGGAATATATAGCTGAAGCTGAGCTGAAACTTCATCAGGTTAGTTGTTCAGTACCCTTCTTTAGATTTTGAGCACTTTTGTTGCTTCAAACGAACAAATGCACAAATTACAAATGATGGACTATATCTTTAAGGTTGAAAACAGACATTGAATTTCTCCTTCAACCTCCATGACTTTATACCAGTGCTGAACTAACTGACCTATGCTGCCCTGTGTTAATGGCAACACATGTCAAGCTTCAAATTCCACAAAACATAGTATGATGGAAACATGTCCTCTTTGCTTACCAGAAAGTTTGGATGAATCATCAGTCCCTCACATTTCAGTTCTCTCTTGTCAACCTCCAGGTTACTGTGAAGAGCGTCTAGTGCTGCCGCATTGGAATCATACACCTTAACTTTGTGCCCATGGTATGCCATGCAACCTATTAAGGAATGCACAATGAAGTTCATTATGGTCCGATCATTTCATTTGGAATAATTTGTCTGCTGTACATCCTAAATCGCCTTTAAAGCTGCGTGTCATTTCCTAACAAATTTTCAATTTGGATGTTTTGTTTTAATGAAAAACTCTACATTTTCTGACTTTGGGCGTCTGCAACCCTCTGAAAAAGGGCTGCACACAAATGAACTGCCATTTAATTCAACAACTAAACGTCAATGGATTTTTTTCCATTCAATGTCTCATTCAAAAGTGAATAAGTTTTACATTGTTAGGAAAATAGCAACTGAAAAAAAATCTATTGTGGCGAGTCCAGCTCAAAATAGCATGGGGAATGCATCTTTAAATGCACATTGCTGGAGAATAAAAAGAGTGTGCCTAAATACCATTTTGATGACACATACAATGGTGCAGGCTAATTATAAGCCTAAATTGTATAGAACAGCTTTTTCCTTCAGAGCAAAGTTCTCTACACAGACAAGAAAATATGGTTTTCAAGAATTTCCCTATGGGTTTCAAACGATTCTTTACTTAACCAGTTCACGCCGGGATTATATCGACATTAACGGACCCAGGCATGGGATTGTTTTCAAGAACCTCAATGCCAGATGGGTTCAGACCGTCATCTGCGGGTAGTACACCCTGATGTTTTTGGCCTCGCTCACTGCGACTGGGTCGCAGACAGATATTTCCGGCCTCGCTCGTTGCATGTTTATCTGTCATCCGTTCCGAATACCGCAAAACCTCTGCATGTATACACGTCATCCAACGTAGACTGGTAAGTTGCACACATAAAGTTATACAACTAGCGATGCCACCAGCTAGTGCAACTATGGTTGACTAGCATGGGTTCCAGTGAAGTTAGTCCAACTATGGTTTTGGTTCTCGCTCAAATTTGCACTAGAATAGGGCTGTGCATCGGAACCGGGTACCCGAAGTACCCGACTGCTGATGTCAGGAACCGGTTCCAGATTATGGAATCAAGTACCAGTAACCAACTCTATATATTAATTAGTAAACTCTCAAACAATGAAAAAGAAGGTTTTGAATGTCAAGCTGCATGGAAAAACAACAGATTCACATTGATGACGCTTGCGAAAAAGCAATTTACACCTTGCATTGAGCTTGCTGTACACTTGTATCTTGCTGTATTGATGCACCGGTGTGGTATTATTCTACGGACCTTTATGCACAATCTGTACAGCAACTTCCGAGATTACAATTTTGGGGTTGGGTTTCTTTTACGGTTACCTGATTCCCATTCTACCCATAAATGCACACCCTTACTCAGAATGCAGAGAATATTTCCAATCGTATGACATCAAAGTACCACTTGGCCTTCCGGTTTCCCTGTGATCGGCTACCATTGCAGTAGGCAAGCATTTGGTTATACCCTAGTCACACTAGAGGCGGAATGAGCTGGAATGCCGTCGGAATGAAAATTCTTTGTATATTCCTGGATGTTCGAAGTGCATTCTAAAACTTCTGACTGAATTCTGAGTGCATTCCAAATATTCGGGCCCATTCTTGTGGCCGGCCCGAATGTTTTGCTCATGCTCAAAACTTTCGAGGTGCATTCGAAGTGGAGAAATATCGAACAGCATTCGAAGTGTATTCTAACTGCACTCTGACTGCATTCTAAATATTCTTACGGCATTCCAACAGCATTCGAAACATTCTGATCGCATTCGAGGGAGAATCGAAAGGCCAAGCCACTTCAAATCCTACCAGAATGTCCCGAATGCGCCTCGAATGAGCCGGAATGCACCTCGAATGCATCTCGATTGCTGACGGAATCTATTTCGATATTAAAAGAATTCAGCTGGAATGCACTTCGAATGCCATCAGAATCTTTCGATTGCCGCTCGAATGCGGCTTGAATGCAATCGGAACGTCCCGATTGGCCCTCGAATGAGTCCGGACGTAATTCAGAACAACGCCAAATCGCATAAAAACGCGGCCAGCTGGAGGACAGCAATCTGGAGCAAAGCAATATGGTCCAGGGGGTCCATACTCTGTGATGGTTGGGCTGAGACTGATGAAAATGCTAGATTCGGCAGCATTTTATACCCTATCGGGGACCATTCGAAGTACATTCTAAATATTCGAGCTGCATTCTGTTTGAACTCTTGGACGTTCCAACCATATTCAGTGGCCATTCCGGGAGCGTTCTGACTGCATTCGAGGTGAATTCATACAGCATTCGAGGCATGCACCTTCCAACCAGACTTGGAGCGGTATTCGGGCAGCAATCGAAGTGCATTCTAAATATTCTGACTGCATTCTAACAGCATTCTAAATATTCCTACTGTGTTCCAACTACATTCCAGCTACATTCGAGAGCTAATACACCCAGATTGTGCAAGTACCTGTGAAGGCGAGTACTCAGAATTCCTTATCAAATGACATATAGTCACTACCTGTACCATGTATGATTGTCATATTTGTGCCAAACCAGCACTGGCTGTTGGCTCCGCGTTTTTCTCAGTTTTTGCTATCCATCATTCGAGGCGGGTTCGAAGCGCATTCTAAGTATTCGAACGGCATTCTTACAAAGCTTGGTCAATTTGAAATTCCCTCCCGAATGTGGCACGAATTTTGAAAATTCTTCATTCCGACTGGTTCTGCTTGATTCATGCTGATTCCGAATAAGTGTGACGGGGGTCTTAACAACCACATCGTCCATTGTAAACTGACAATGGGGCTTATTTTCACATGAAATAACCGTGAATTCCTTATCAAATGACATATAGTCACTACCTGTACCATGTATGATTGTAATATTTGTGCCAAACCAGCACTGGCCGTTGGCTCCGCGTTTTTCTCAGTTTTTGCCATCCATCACAGCTTTGAAGGCTTGCCTACTACCTACTGAACACGGTGCTAGAATAATAATAATTCATGCATTTATATTGCGCAAATTCCATATGAATATGAATATGATCAAATGCGCATCACAATTATTATCCCTGTTCATCAGGAATGGGACCATTTTTTTCTGCAGCAGTTCAATTTGGTCTCTACCTTCACAGGTACTCATTTACTCCTGGGTGGAGTACCTTGTCTAAGAGCACAAGCACCATGTTCCCTGTCAGGGTTTGAAGCCATGTACCGCAGCACACAAGTCAAACACCGTAGCCATTGGACCACACAGCGCCTTGCTATACAATCTTTGCCTAATACAATGGCGATGCTGACTTTCCTGTACCCGGATGTAGGCCAAGTCACATCATTGAGACAGCCCTATTAATACCACTTTTTTTTTTACATTTTTATGTGTACATATACAACTTGGGACTGAAATGCATAAGTTGTTAACAGATACAATCCCCATAGAATTTGTACAAAACCACCACAGTAATGACAGAATATTCTTTCCTCACTGAAGCACCCCCACAGTATTGTCTTTAGTTTGTATTTTGTACCTGCTATCTTGCCGCCCATTAGGCCACAGCCCAGCACAGCTATCTGCACCATGATTCCGCACTTTCATCCAGAAGTTGACACTTATGCCTTGAAATGTGATGGATAGCCTTCGTTTATCACCAGTGCATCTGTGGGTTTACAATGAATACAAATGCAAAATAATAGTTCAGTCATTTTCCCAGACATTTGTAATCAAAACTTCTCCATTCCCGAGCAGTGTACTATTAAATCATCAGCCTTCATGTATAACTTCATAAACTAGTCATGACAACATTTACTAAGCCAATTGGCAGAAATTGTGTGGTTAATAAGGATTCAAAGTCAATTGGAAAAAAATTGTGTGGTTAAAGGTTCATATTCCTGTAACAAAATGAAAATTCACTTACAATAATGGACTATGCCCTAACTATAGCAATGGCCTCTACCATAGCTGCAACAGTCCAAACTTACAGGTTAGGCTAGCCCCATAACTGTACATGGCTCAAATACTGGACTTCCTCCGAATTGACTCGAGTCACACACCAATTCATGCTACATATCCTGTTAAGTTGTGTTTGCAGAATTTGAAATTAAGACTGTTTCTTCACTTCATAATCACTATGGAGAAGCTACTTACCTGGTAAATGAGCAAGACAAATCAAAGGTCAAACATGCATGACCCATGACCTAAAACAAAATTCATTTCATTTTTTTTTTACAAACTTTCTACTAATTTTGCCTGAAAATTACAGGACAGGAGACTTCTAGAGGTATGAAATTTAAAGGTAGGGTAGATCATTTTGTCATTTGGGAATTGTTTTCGTTGGAAGCCACAAAAGTGTTCAAAATCCATAGAAGGGTGCTTAACAACTAACATGATGAAGTTTTAGCTCTATGAATGTTATATTTTCTGAGAAAACGATATTCTAGGATCGCAGTTTTAATTCAAAAGTTGCCGAGTCAAAGCGTCCAGGACACATTCCGATTCAGCCGATTGAAGCTACCCAATGTCACGCACAGAACTGACGAATAATATAAGTTTTAACAGCAACCGCGTGCATGTGTGCGTTTGTCAATGCTTGCGCACACCCATTCATGGATTTGCCGAATTACAAACCAACTACTTACGGAAATTTCCAAAAATGTGTCACTTCACACATCTTTGGAAATAGCCTTCTTTTATTGTTTTCTTCAAAATGACAGCATACCAGAAAGAATATTCACAATGAGTTTAGTGCCAATTACCATCTTTAAACCAGGTATTAAAGCTTTTCAACAATGTCAGTTACTTTTTGGATAGATGCAAATGATCTACTCTACCTTTAATTTTTCCTGGTTATTAACCAGGTGAATATCTTCCATAGAGACCGAGGCGCGAGGTGACCTGGGACCGAGTTGACTTGGGACCAAGTTGACGCGGACCAAGTTGGTTTGGGACCGAGTTGACCTGCACCCCAAAACTGGAAATGTTTCCTGGTCTCAGATTCATGTCTTTTCGACATTTTTGCAATCTTTATTTATTGAGATGATTTATTATGAAGGAAAAAGAGGAGTCAGGTTGCAACATTCTTTCCAAACTAAAAACTGCTTACAGTCCTAGTATAAACTAGGACTCTACGAATTGCCATTTTTAACATTTGGACATCCCCGACTTTGTCCAAATGTTAAAAAAGGCGATTCGTAGAGTCCTAGTTACTCGGACTAATAAATAAGTAGTTATATCCTCAATCCTCCTATTTCTGCGCAGATAAGGCTTTGCAACCAAGTAGCTTAAAAAATAGCAAAGCAACCACTCTTTTTCTCAACAAAACTTGTATTGTTGGCATACGATCATCCACCGTACCGATTGACAAAGCAAGCGGGGAATTCCAAAGCGTGCAGGTTTGGCATTGTAGAAAAGAAATCCTACCTAATTCTGCGCAAGGGACGCTTCATGAAAAATATGTGCTGTCTGGGTCACGTAACTCAATATAGTTTTTTTTTTAATAACTTAGTTGGTTGGCTTTAGAAAAATATATTTCCTGAGCTTTTCAAACATATTTTCTTTCTTTTTCCTTTCTTTTTTCAATGCCAATACACTTTTCGTAATTTCAAGATTATTTCTAATATCCCATTTTGGAGATTTATACAAAGGCCTCTATTTACATATTTACAAAAAGATTTTATACATACATGTATTTACCTATTAAATGAAGATCCCAATGATATTGTTATTCTGATCATCCCAATCAACAGAGACAGTTTTTAAGATGTCGGATTTCAAACTTTATGACACAAAAAAAATCCAAAATGATATAAGAAATGTGTCGTTTTAGTTGCACGGTAAATTTTACACCCTTGTAGAAACTGCAAAGTCTTATCTACGACATATTAATGCGCCTATCAAATGTCCCCCCCCCCCCCCAGATGCCGGGATTTGGTCACGTTTTTCATGCTCAAGGGTGGGGATTTTGGTCACTCAAATTACATTGTTTTACCATTGGCATTCTACATGGAAATGCATTTACTTGTGCATCCCACGTATCTATGTCGGGGCATGGTCGGAGATTGTCACTTAAATTTTGCCCGAGGGGTGGGGATTTTGTCACTTCAAAAATGACAATCCCCACATCTTGGGTGGGGCAGCCCGGGGGGGGGGGGGGGGGGAACAATGGATAGGCGCATAACTATAATACTGAAGTCTGAAGATATTAGAAGACCAAGAAATGTCACAGTTTCAGTTATATTTTCAACTTCTGCAGGCCCGGAAGCATCTGCCTGCATTTGTACTTGGCAATTAGCTGTAATGCCTATGTTTTTCATTTTTTGCCTGAATTCCCAGTATAAAGCCTTCAATTTCCAAATTTTTTCGGCTGCTGGTTAAAGTTCGTGCATCAAAAGATACGATCCCAGTGATTTTATGTCTTTTTTAGGATGCATGCCTTGCAACGGCGAGTGCGAAGAAATAGGACATGTAGGTAGCGCGTAGGAGGTCTGATGATAAATAAGGCTGGCAAAAAGGCTGCAGAAGTCAATTTCACCATTTTGGAATAAAAGAAACCTTCTCAATCTCAGAATTAGAAAAGGTGCCCAAATTGTGCGGGGTTCTCGATCTCCTACACCATGGAGGAATCCTTCCTCCATGCCTACACGTCCCTCGAAAAAATGTAACAAACATACAACTAATGCATGCGAATAGCGCCCTCTCGTTATACTTATAGCAGGCATTCTATAATAAATGCACATAACTTAGAAATAAGCCGTCACAATATATTCGTCGCAGCGTATTTGGTCTTGCCTTAATAATTCGTATACATTGTACGAAACGGAAATGGAAAGTCCTACGTACTCAGACACAACAATGAATAAACGGACACTTGATGAGAAAAAGAGCAAACATCGCTGGAAGATTCTGAAAAATGTAAGCATCTGTCAATGACGTCATGTGCGTCAGATTACATTACTCACCGACTCAGTGACTGTAGGCTGGCCTTTGGTATAATCGCAAAGTTTTCGTTCATTCTCGCAGGAAGACGTCAGGGTATAGTTGGTCCATGGAGCTATAAAACACAGCTCCATGGTTTTGGTCAAAAGCAAAGTACGAGGAACTGCACTGGCCTGTCTCACTAGCTAGCTACTAGTACTAAGCTAGGGATAGTGTCAGTTGGCTTTTGGTCATAAATCAAAAATCATCTCCTCTATATGGAATATGCAATATTGGGTACATTTCAAGGAATATTGAAACACTATAAAACCATTATTAATAA